TGTCCACCACCGGGTTCGGGGATTGCCGCCTTGACAGGCACCGGAGACCTTACGGCCACAGCTCCGAGCGGCCGCTTGGACAGTGGAGGTGGAGAACAAGGTCCACTCAGACTCAATATCTCCAGCCTCCCTCAGGATCCAGTCGAAGCTCCGCCGGAGGTGGGAGTAGAAGATCTCTCTGACAGGGGACTCGGCCAAACGTTCCCAGCGAACCCTCACAGTACGCTTGGGTCTGTCCAGCTTCCTCCCCCGCCATCGGATCCAACTCAACATGGTGATAATGACAGCTCCGCCCCTCTCTTCACCCGAGTGTCCAAGACATACGGACGGAGGTCGGATGAAACGACCACAAATTCGATCATCGACCTACGGCCTAGGGTGTCCTGGTGCCATGTGCACTGGTGGACACCCTTATGCTTGAACATGGTGTTCGTTATGGACAAACTGTAACTAGGACAGAAGTCCAATAACTGAAGACCACTCGGGTTCAGGTCAGGGGGGCCGTTCCTCCCAATCACGCCCCTCCAGGTGTCACTGTCGCTGCCCACGTGGGCGTTGAAGTCCCCCAGTAGAACCACGGAGTCCCCAGTCGGAGCACTTTCCACTTTCGAGAAGGCCGGGTACTCTGCACTGCCGTTCGGCCCGTAGACGAACACGACAGTGAGAGACCTGTCCCCGACCCGTAGACGAACACGACAGTGAGAGACCTGTCCCCGACCCGTAGACGAACACGACAGTGAGAGACCTGTCCCCGACCCGTAGACGAACACGACAGTGAGAGACCTGTCCCCGACCCGTAGACGAACACGACAGTGAGAGACCTGTCCCCGACCCGTAGACGAACACGACAGTGAGAGACCTGTCCCCGACCCGTAGACGAACACGACAGTGAGAGACCTGTCCCCGACCCGTAGACGAACACGACAGTGAGAGACCTGTCCCCGACCCGTAGACGAACACGACAGTGAGAGACCTGTCCCCGACCCGTAGACGAACACGACAGTGAGAGACCTGTCCCCGACCCGTAGACGAACACGACAGTGAGAGACCTGTCCCCGACCCGTAGACGAACACGACAGTGAGAGACCTGTCCCCGACCCGTAGACGAACACGACAGTGAGAGACCTGTCCCCGACCCGTAGACGAACACGACAGTGAGAGACCTGTCCCCGACCCGTAGACGAACACGACAGTGAGAGACCTGTCCCCGACCCGTAGACGAACACACGACAGTGAGAGACCTGTCCCCGACCCGTAGACGAACACGACAGTGAGAGACCTGTCCCCGACCCGTAGACGAACACGACAGTGAGAGACCTGTCCCCGACCCGTAGACGAACACACGACAGTGAGAGACCTGTCCCCGACCCGTAGACGAACACGACAGTGAGAGACCTGTCCCCGACCCGTAGACGAACACGACAGTGAGAGACCTGTCCCCGACCCGTAGACGAACACGACAGTGAGAGACCTGTCCCCGACCCGTAGACGAACACGACAGTGAGAGACCTGTCCCCGACCCGTAGACGAACACGACAGTGAGAGACCTGTCCCCGACCCGTAGACGAACACACGACAGTGAGAGACCTGTCCCCGACCCGTAGACGAACACGACAGTGAGAGACCTGTCCCCGACCCGTAGAAGAACACGACAGTGAGAGACCTGTCCCCGACCCGTAGACGAACACGACAGTGAGAGACCTGTCCCCGGCCCGTAGACGAACACGACAGTGAGAGACCTGTCCCCGGCCCGTAGACGAACACGACAGTGAGAGACCTGTCCCCGGCCCGTAGACGAACACGACAGTGAGAGACCTGTCCCCGGCCCGTAGACGAACACGACAGTGAGAGACCTGTCCCCGACCCGTAGACGAACACGACAGTGAGAGACCTGTCCCCGACCCGTAGACGAACACGACAGTGAGAGACCTGTCCCCGACCCGTAGACGAACACGACAGTGAGAGACCTGTCCCCGACCCGTAGACGAACACGACAGTGAGAGACCTGTCCCCGACCCGTAGACGAACACACGACAGTGAGAGACCTGTCCCCGACCCGTAGACGAACACGACAGTGAGAGACCTGTCCCCGACCCGTAGACGAACACGACAGTGAGAGACCTGTCCCCGACCCGTAGACGAACACGACAGTGAGAGACCTGTCCCCGACCCGTAGACGAACACACGACAGTGAGAGACCTGTCCCCGACCCGTAGACGAACACGACAGTGAGAGACCTGTCCCCGACCCGTAGGCGAACACGACAGTGAGAGACCTGTCCCCGACCCGTAGACGAACACGACAGTGAGAGACCTGTCCCCGACCCGTAGACGAACACGACAGTGAGAGACCTGTCCCCGACCCGTAGACGAACACGACAGTGAGAGACCTGTCCCCGACCCGTAGACGAACACGACAGTGAGAGACCTGTCCCCGACCCGTAGACGAACACGACAGTGAGAGACCTGTCCCCGACCCGTAGACGAACACGACAGTGAGAGACCTGTCCCCGACCCGTAGACGAACACGACAGTGAGAGACCTGTCCCCGACCCGTAGACGAACACGACAGTGAGAGACCTGTCCCCGACCCGTAGACGAACACGACAGTGAGACCTGTCCCCGACCCGTAGACGAACACGACAGTGAGAGACCTGTCCCCGACCCGTAGACGAACACGACAGTGAGAGACCTGTCCCCGACCCGTAGACGAACACGACAGTGAGAGACCTGTCCCCGACCCGTAGACGAACACGACAGTGAGAGACCTGTCCCCGACCCGTAGACGAACACGACAGTGAGAGACCTGTCCCCGACCCGTAGACGAACACGACAGTGAGAGACCTGTCCCCGACCCGTAGACGAACACGACAGTGAGAGACCTGTCCCCGACCCGTAGACGAACACGACAGTGAGAGACCTGTCCCCGACCCGTAGACGAACACGACAGTGAGAGACCTGTCCCCGACCCGTAGACGAACACGACAGTGAGAGACCTGTCCCCGACCCGTAGACGAACACGACAGTGAGAGACCTGTCCCCGACCCGTAGACGAACACGACAGTGAGAGACCTGTCCCCGACCCGTAGACGAACACGACAGTGAGAGACCTGTCCCCGACCCGTAGACGAACACGACAGTGAGAGACCTGTCCCCGACCCGTAGACGAACACGACAGTGAGAGACCTGTCCCCGACCCGTAGACGAACACGACAGTGAGAGACCTGTCCCCGACCCGTAGACAAACACACGACAGTGAGAGACCTGTCCCCGACCCGTAGACGAACACGACAGTGAGAGACCTGTCCCCGACCCGTAGACGAACACGACAGTGAGAGACCTGTCCCCGACCCGTAGACGAACACGACAGTGAGAGACCTGTCCCCGACCCGTAGACGAACACGACAGTGAGAGACCTGTCCCCGACCCGTAGACGAACACGACAGTGAGAGACCTGTCCCCGACCCGTAGACGAACACGACAGTGAGAGACCTGTCCCCGACCCGTAGACGAACACGACAGTGAGAGACCTGTCCCCGACCCGTAGACGAACACGACAGTGAGAGACCTGTCCCCGACCCGTAGACGAACACACGACAGTGAGAGACCTGTCCCCGACCCGTAGACGAACACGACAGTGAGAGACCTGTCCCCGACCCGTAGACGAACACGACAGTGAGAGACCTGTCCCCGACCCGTAGACGAACACGACAGTGAGAGACCTGTCCCCGACCCGTAGACGAACACGACAGTGAGAGACCTGTCCCCGACCCGTAGACGAACACGACAGTGAGAGACCTGTCCCCGACCCGTAGACGAACACGACAGTGAGAGACCTGTCCCCGACCCGTAGACGAACACGACAGTGAGAGACCTGTCCCCGACCCGTAGACGAACACGACAGTGAGAGACCTGTCCCCGACCCGTAGACGAACACGACAGTGAGAGACCTGTCCCCGACCCGTAGACGAACACGACAGTGAGAGACCTGTCCCCGACCCGTAGACGAACACGACAGTGAGAGACCTGTCCCCGACCCGTAGACGAACACGACAGTGAGAGACCTGTCCCCGACCCGTAGACGAACACGACAGTGAGAGACCTGTCCCCGACCCGTAGACGAACACACGACAGTGAGAGACCTGTCCCCGACCCGTAGGCGCAGGGAAGCGACCCTCTCGTTCACCGGGGGAAACTCCAACACATGGCGACTGAGCTGATCGTATTTACTTTATTATATGTTTCTATTTACATCCTGTAATAATAACACATTGGCTGATGCATCATCCAACTTACATGTATATCTAAATATGTGACAATTTAAAAGTAAATTTTCTTTTAATTTTACATTTTATCGAGGCACAAAAAAGCACAGAAATGCCGATGATAAAAGTGTCGACAAAAAGTGTCATTTTATTGCTCATACATTCATTCATACTTTTATAAAATACTATATATATATTAAAAATCAAACTGAGTTAATTACATTTGCATGATCTTGAGAATTTGTACACAACATGTTTTATAAATTAAACTGGTTTATTCTCTGAGAGTGAGTGATAAAAACACACGATACAGTCGTTTCGGACCGGTTCTGATGACATCATCGTGAAGTTCTGGGTAAAAGCGCACCGTGACCCGATATATATATATATATACATATTAAAAAAATCAAAGTGAGTTAATTACATTTGCATGATCGTGTTTTATAAATTAAACTGGTTTATTCTCTCTGAGAGTGAGTGATAAAAACACACGATACAGTCGCCTGGGACCGGTTCTGATGACATCATCGTGATGCGCATGGTTCTGATGACATCATCGTGGTGTTCCGGGTAAAAGCGCACGGTTCTGATGACATCATGGTCCGTTTCTGATGACATCATCGTGGTGTTCCGGGTAAAAGCGCCCGGTTCTGATGACATCATCGTGGTGTTCCGGGTAAAAGCGCCCGGTTCTGATGACATCATCGTGGTGTTCCGGGTGAAAGCGCCCCGTGACCCGCTGCGGTTTGGCCTGTGAGCCTCAGGCCGGTTTCAGGAGGTCCACAGGGAGTAGGCCGTAGTGAAGCTGAGGGCCAGGAGAAACGACAGCAGAACCAGAAGAACTTTCTGCATCCACACACACCAGTCCAGCTTCTGCTCCAGTCGAGCATTCGTCAGCATCACACGCGTCAGCTGGAGGACACAACATGAGGAGGTTAATGTGTGCAATAACTCGCCCTTCTCGGGTCATTTTGACCCCAAACTCATTAAAAAAATTAAAAATTGAAAATTGGGTGTTCATCAGAGGGTCCAAGACTTTTGTAGCATTTGAACCACGAATACACCAAAAAATTAAAAATTAATGGATTCGGGGAGTTTTGTAATTGAAATTTTAAAAAGTAACAAATCCGTTCCCTCGGGTCAATCTGACCCCCTTAGGAATGACTGGAATGCAAGGATTGTTTCAGTTCACATAGAAAAACCTAAAAATACTCAATTCTGACTAAAAACTAAAAGCAAAAATTATTTTATAATATCTAGATGTGTGTCTGAATGCACACTGAAGAGAACTGGCTTTAGGACCCAGCGGAACAGCTCCTCTGCTCCATATAGAGCTATAAGCCCATCTAGAGTCAGGAAATATCATGTGTTATTATTATTATTCCACAAGAGGGCAAAGACTCCCAGTGTAATATATTTAGAGCTGAATTAAAAGGTTTATGCATTAAATTGTGAGTTATTTTGAATTGAAGTTGAAAGAATGTGAGGAATGTGCTTAAATTACTATCAATTCATTATTTATTGATCAAATCTAGTAATTTAAAGGTAAATTAAAATAACAAATCTCCAAAAAAAAATTGCATTAAAAAAATAGAACCAATATCAAAATGAAATAAAATTAGCTTTCTGGACAAAAAAAAAAAAAGATGTTTAATTTTAGGGCGAGGGAAAGATGTGTTACAAAGTGCGAGGAAATGATAATCAATAAATGAAATTAGAATAATAAGACACAATAGGGCAGTTAGCAATCAAATGAAATCAAAATTAATCTTTGCAATGAAGAGGAAACAGAAGCATTTAATGCAGATTAGAGCGACATGAACGCATTTAACCTGCGGTTACAAATGCATCAATAATGTTTTGATGTTTTAAACATAAATATTGATATTTTGAACATTGAAATTATTTAAATGTGGAATTAATCCGCCAGTAGGTGGCAGCACTGTTAATGAGTGAGTCACTGAATCATTCATTCAACCAATTTGTTCAAACAAACGGCTGATTCATTCAGAAATGCATTTGACTCTTGATGAGTGAGTCATTGAATCATTCACTCACTGATTTGTTTTAAAGGATTCATGAAGTAATGAAACACAGCTGTGTGTCGCTGGCTTTGTTTGGAACTATTTTCTTGGGCAAAATGGAGCAAAAACAGGCATTACTGCATCTAAAATGTAAGTCACACAATATTAACTTCTTTGTTTATTGAACTGTTGTAGTAAATCAATTTCACATTTGCAATGGTGTTGAAATTTGGAGAAGAACGGCCCTCTTTGTGTGACACTGATTAACTAAATCAAATGATGTAGTATTTTGGCCCCATTTCTTGAATATTGGGCGTGTTCAAACTGCATTTTAATAGACTAAATCAATGTACAAAAAACAATTGTTTTTTGTAAAGTGAGGTAAAGGTTAAAACAATCACGATATTACCGGAGACGATATATAATCGCACACCTCAACTGTAAACAGACGGGGGAAAAACATGTTTTTAGGAATAAAATGTTCTGTAAATCAGTCGATTGATATATGAGCTTCATATGAATAAAACTAAAGTTAGGTGTGTGAAGCTGCTGAAGTGGAGATTTCCACCTTTAAAGAGACGCATTGAGATTGACACCTACAGATGCAAATAGATAAAGTGCAATAAAATAAACACTTAAAGTCCCCCTGTAGTGAATCATTTTATCACTTAAAACTCATCTTTGATCACCAAAATGACATTTTCTTCATGCCTTAAAGGTGCTCTATGTAACTTTTCTACTAAAATGAATCCTTTTTTTATTGCCTGTGTGTGAAGGGGTTGTAATCACACATTAAAATGATCCACTTGTCGAGTTTTGCTATTACCTCTGAAGGCCAGTATTCCTATTTCTATGTGAAGTCTCCAGGTCGGATTTACCGCGAATTCCACCGGATGTGACGTGCACGCGCACTCCCGAGCCTCTCTCCTTATATACAGTCTATTGTAGACGGTCAGGGAGTTACGTCCGGTTAAAGGCGCACGTTTTTCGGCTTATATCTCAGTCAATCTTTGATCAATATTCCCAAGACTCTAATCCAGCCTTTCTCAAACTTTTTTCAGTCGGGGCACCTTTCAAAAGTGCATAAAATCTCAAGGCACCCCAGTGTAAAATATAAATTAAAAAATAACCCAAATGTAAATGCAAATGTCCTGTTTATTTAGACAGAACAGTAATGAACAGAGCATAATACGAACTGTAAATAACAATAATAATAACAACTTTACAGGGCTATCACTTTTGTGAAAAAATCCTGATCGATTTTTGAGACATAAACGTTCATTGAATCGATTGTAAAATCGATTTTCCATGTCTAAGGACGTTTCCATTTTCAGCGCCAAATATAGGCAAATCCACGGACAACTAACAGGCATTAGCACGAGCGTAAAGAACGCGCTTGAGACGCGCACAAGTCAGCAATATTTCTGATGATTTATTGGCATGAAGTTTCGTGCACAATGACAAACAGGAGTGCAAGATTCTCGAAAAACAATAAGCAGAGTGGACTGCCATAACATCAATGAAAAACATTACTGCAGGCTTCAACATGGCTGTGTTTACGATTAGAAATGTCAAACAAATTTCGCCTACGTAGGCGATTGTAGGCCGGATCTGTATCTGTATGCATGGGACTGTCTGAATACCGGCAGAATTCACATTTTTGTTGTAAAAAGAGACACGTTATGCAGAAGTATAGTATAGTTTGTATGTGTGTTTGTCAGAGCCTGCAGTTGCTGTGTGACGTGTTGTTGCTATAACGCGTTGCTATGGGTTGCGTCACTTGCGTCAAGTTGTGTGTGTGTCTTGCTTCGGTCTTGTGAGACGGATTTTTATGGTTAATTTTATATATATATATATTTATCTAAAATGAATTTACAATTTTATTAATACGTTCATATGTTTAAAAAGAAGAAGAATGTATTTATGTAAATTCAAATATATATATATATTTTTAGCCTACGTAATTTTTTGGCGGCACCCCTGACAAAGTCAGGGGGCACCCCAGTGTGCCGCGGCACCCACTTTGAGAAAGGCTGCTCTAATCGTTCGTAGTGCTGGACGGGGCCTTTCGAACGAGCCCACCCCCGAGGTCCAACTCGCCCGGCTCCCCGAGTTACAGGGGTCCCAGCGAACGGCGATCCGGTAGGGGGCGTCCCCGAGGCCCGCCACTCTAGCGTTCGGGTTCCCCTGGGACCTCCTCCCCCGAATTTGAGCTCTCTGGGTCTTGGCGTTCCAGAGATACAAGCGATTTTCTTCTGAGATCGTGACGTCACCGGCGTCCGCAATTTTGCAGCGCGCCCGATGGTTTTCTGCTAATATCTCCGCGAAAACACCACCAAAAACTATGGAACTTATATGGTTCTTTTCAGCTCGACTAGATGGTCCCAACGAGCTCGGTGCTCGCCGAATCCGTCAAGTATTCGCCGAGATATTTGCGTAATAGACGGTATTGTCTATGAGTTCGAGCGCTCTTGTAAAATTTGGTTGCAATCCGAAACATCACCACTAGAGGCCGCTAAAAGTTACGTAGAGCACCTTTAAATAAAATATCTTGAATGTAACTCGACACCCTCGCCTCATTTAGTATGCGCGGCTCTATGAATATGCAGATGAGCCCCGCCTCCACTCACTCACTCAGCTCAGAGATCCACTGGTTGACGATCACACGTTGATCTGATTGGTTACAAGGTCGTTTGTGACGTCAGAAACACCAGCGATTTCAAACCGTGTTTTTGAGACTGTCTTTGGTTCACTGCAGTTTTAAGGAGGAAATACTCAGCAATGCTGTCGACTTATGAACTTACACATGCTTTAAGCGTATTAATAACACCACATAGACACATAAACAACATTAAACGCTGGATTCTCACCACAGGGGGACTTTAAGTGTATTCTGCATGTTTATTTTGCACTAGTCTGAAAGACATGTAATGGAAGCAAAATAGAGCAGAATCTCATAATTAACCAAAAAAAAAAAACCCTTTTGCCTTATGAAAGTAAATGGAGTGAGTGCTGAAGAACAAGTTCTCACCATCGTCTGCAGATCCTGATGCTCATTGGTGGACGTCACTGACGAACTATCGAATGAATTGCTGAGAATAGACTTGGGACTCTCTAGGACGTGACAGCGTAGCCTGTGGGAAACATGATAGGACTGATATTAGTGTGACTCCTGGTTAAAGCAGCTGTGATCTGCCATCTCACGCCAGCGTAACATCATCTTATACAGCAAACACTGATGCTATATCACCGCAGTGTCCGGTTAATCAGGCGTCTCGCTGCGTCATGCAGATCCAACACTCATACTGGGATATACACTCAAACCTACATTTATTCCCACCTTCAACATTTTTCACATTATCTCAGTTTAGAAAATGGTAATAAAATGACAAGAACTCAGTTGATATTTCACTGGTTTTGTCCATCGACTGTCTCGCAAATGAAGCTGTTAAATGGACAAACCAGTGAAATATCCACTGATCTGAGAACTCTGAGTTCTGCTCATATTTCATTACCATTTTCTAAACTATAGCGAATAAACTGATAATGTGAGAAATGTTGAAGGTGTCTGAATACATTTGTGTGTGTGTGCCGTCACCTGTGCTCCATGATTTTGGCTTTTGAAACCTCCTTCCAGAACTGAGATAACTCTGGGACTCCAGTGCCGCTCTCCGTCTCTGCTGCCATGACCAGGAACCGGTCCTGAGGAGACGCCTGGAAGCCTGACACACACACACACACACACACACACACACACACACACACACACACACACACACACACACACACACACACACACACATCAATCGATGCCGTAGTAGATAAAACACTATTCAAAATGGTGTCTTGTTAGATTTATGAGCTTCAATCTGTTGGTTGCGATCCACTGCCATTATAAAGCTTGGAAGAGCCAGGACATTTATTAATATAACTCTGATTGTATTCGTCTGAAAGAAGAGTGTCATACACACATAGGATGGCTTGAGGGAGAGTAAATCATGGGCTAATGTTCATTCTAAAGTGAGCTATCCTTTTAAGACTTCAGAGATAAAGTTTCTGTGACACGGGCAGAACAGAAGGCCGGTGTTCATGATGAGGTGTTTACCTCCGTGAAGAGAAACCACGATGTCCACACTGGACCCGGGCGCACAGCTGCTGTTACTGGGCTTTACCCGGTACTTCTCTGGAGCCGTGGTCCGTACCTGCACACACACACACCACAAATGAGACCCAATAAAGGGACTAACACAGCTATATGAAGCCTGTAAGCCTGAAGGGCATTGGGGACGCTGTCAAAATGTTGTGTAAACAAAAGCATCTCTTTAAATAGAGCAACTCCCAAACTACAGTAAACCAATACGCCACAGAGCCGGCTCTGCAAAACAAACACGTGTAACTTATGAACTACCAAAGAGATGTTCTGCAAAGCGCCTGGGTTTATAACCGTAGAGAGTGTAGAGAGACCAATGCCATCATCAGCAGAGTCCAGTCGCCTTCTATACAGCGCTTTAACAGTGTAGAGTTTCACAGCAGCTTTACAGTGATAACAGGAGATTACAGTAACAGTGTTTAGGCTTTACAGCAGCTCTAGAATATAGAATAAAGTTAGTTAAACTTCCGTTGCAAAGATCATTAGTTATTAACTTAGGAGCCGCTGACACGTCACCGCTCTACTGAAGACAGAAACAATAAATTGTTGCTTTTATGAATTATACAGGTTTTTTTATTATTAAAATTTAATTAAACCATTAAAATGGAATCCAGAAAACTTGAAACAGAAAACAGATTTTTTTTTTTATAATAATAATTTTTTTTTTTTTTTTTACATATTTCATAGAGCCCTAAACATGTAAAGTTTTATTAAACTTATAGGGTTTCCTTCATGGCACCATTTTATGGATTAGTTTTAATTAATGAAATAACCCATTAAACATGAAAGTATTATGCAATCTTGTGAAAATCCAGCTTTTAATGTCGATTATATGTCTATGTGGTGTTTTTAATATGTAACTCGACACCCTCACCTCATTTAGTATGCGCGGTTCTATGAATATGCAAATGAGCCCCGCCTCCACTCACTCCCTCAGCTCAGAGATCCACTGGTTGACGATCACACGTTGATCTGATTGGTTACAAGGTCGTTTGTGACGTCAGAAACACCAGCGATTTCAAACCGTGTTTTTGAGACTGTCTTTGGTTCACTGCAGTTTTAAGCAGGAAATACTCAGCAATGCTGTCGACTTATGAACTTACACATGCTTTAAGCGTATTAATAACACCAAATAGACACATAAACAAACTGGATTTTCATCACAGGGGGACTTTAACTATTGAAACATGAAAGTATTATGCAATAATTAAAGACATCTCTCCTTTTCTTCTAAGAGTGTATTTTTAACCATGTTAAAATGGTGTAATATTTATGAGTTTGATTGTGTTTATTGAAGTGTGACTCCGCCCACAAGCTCTTCTGATTGGGTGTGATTTGTGATTGATTGTGTCGCTTCTGTTGTGGACTGGCTAATCGCTAATCGTATCACGTCTGGTCGGGATTCCCTTTAAAACTGATAATCGAGTCTCACCTTAAAGGCCACGTGATTTGTGGTGACGTTGTTGAGGACGATCAAACACCTCTTCTCTGATTCTTTAGCACCGAAGCTGAGCTCCTCTGCTGGACTGGAGGAACACACACACACACACATGGTTATCAAGAACCCATACACAACCTTTACTAACAGTTAACAGAAAAAAACCCCCAGGTTTGATTCATTTCTGTGATTCACAACTCTGATTCATTGTCATTTTAGAAATGTTCTCTAAAGTCTCCATCTGTCATTTTTCATATATTGTAAATCTTTAGTGATGCACGATATATCGGCCACCATATCGGTATCGGCCGATATCGGTTCATTTTAACGTTATCATTATCGGCCCAATAGGAAAATGTGGCTGATATATTGAATCTGATAAATAGTGTATTATTCCCTTCAACATGATGGCTTTGAATTGCTTGAAATATGATTGGAATCACTTCAAAAAAGGAAAATATGGTTCAGTGCAACAAGTCCGTCATATCGGTTACATAAAATTATAATAAGAACATCATTATAATGTGTTTGGGACTCGGGTTTTACTGGTGAGGCTTTTGTTTTTGTAATCAGGCTCTCAAAAATTACATACAAATTTGGATTCGGATTATCAGCCACCATATCGGTATCGGCCGATATCGGTTCCTTTTAATGTTATCATTATCGGCCCAATAGGATTTGTCTGATATATTGAATCTGATAAATAGTGTATTATTTCCTTGAGCTGAGACTCTTCAGATGCGCACTGTTCAACATTATGCTTTTGAATTGCTTGAAATATGATTGGAAAACACTTCAAAAAAGTAAAATATGGTTCAGTCTGTCATATCGGTTACATAAAATTATAATAAGAACATCATAATTGTGTGTTTGGGACGTGGCTTTTACTGGTGAGGCTTTTGTTTTTGTAATCAGGCTCTCAAAAATTACACACAAATTTGGATTTTGATTATCGGCCAATATATCGGTTATCGGCTTTCAAATATAAATAATTATCGGTATCGGACAAAATGTTCATATCGGTGTATCCCTATAAATATTGCTGTTCATAACGATGTGTTGTGATATTGGTGCATATTTAAAGCATCAATTAAATCATACCTTTTTTTCTTAAGCTTATTAAAAACTCGTTTTAATGTTATATGCATTGTTTAAATGCTATGGGGTTGCAGTTTTTGTGATGTTGCCAGGTTTGACGACTTTTACTTATTATAAATGTTTTGTTTAAGTCTTTTTGGTTTGAATTTTTGACATGTTCTGTTTTACTGTGTGTGTATTGTGAAGCACTTTAGTCAACATTCGTGTTGTTATAAGGTGCTATATGAATAAACTTTGACCTTTTGATATAAATGAAAATGATTAAATCTGACTTTAGTAAACCATGGCTTGAGTATAGAAGCAGGTTTGTCAGTGTGTGTACCTGATGTGCAGTAGTGTGCCCTTGAAAGTGGTCGTGGGTTTTCTAGCCCCTCTCAGGCGGCCCGGTTCTCCTCTGTCGAGATCATCTGACCTTTGACCTTCTTCAATGAAATTCACCTGTGAAACACACACAACATGATGGCATTTTGTATTTTCACAATGATGTGATAATAATGGAAACGCATGACATCAGCTCCGTGAATGTGTTCTGAACTTTTGAAACTGATTAATTTTTTTAACATTTTACAAACAAGAAATGATACAAAAGGAAGACATTGAAAGAGAGGGTTACAATACAGATAACAATGTTTTTTTTTTTAAGAAAATAGTAGATAAATAAATACGCTTTTCATTTTTTATGAAAGTTATGGCAACGTAGTTGAGCAGGTCGCGACTTTATACAAATTAAAAGTAAATACCAATGAGAGCAATGATCAATGCATCACAAAAGTCAAACATTATGATAATTTCAACCGATTTTATTTTATTGTATGCATTATTTATTTTGTCTGGAAATTAATGTTTTGTATATTAAACATTGCAATTCAATTGTCATACACGTTGTTGATCTTAAATATGTAATTTGAGTAGCAACATTTATGCAATTAATGACAAAAGTACGTCTTCACCCTTCATTCAAATATTATTAAAGATTTTGAAGTCAAATTGCATAGTCGAAATTTTTGGCACATGCAAAAAAAAAAAAAAAAAAAAGAGAGAGAGAGAGAGAGATAAATAAATATTAATAATTATTATCTTGTAGTCAATGTTTGCTTTTTCCTGTCAGCTTTTGTCTTGCACAGTGTTTTGCATAGTAAAATAAAGCAAAATTTATCATTTTTAATGAGTTATGGCGAGCAAATGAAATAAAACACAAAGCTGAAACCAGAACAAAGGGCCCATGTGAACACGAGTCCTCATGTCATGTGACTTCACACACACCACTTTAACCCTTGCAGGAACTTTTCTCCACTTCAGTCTCGAGCCGACGAACACACACACACACACACACACACACACACGTGGGAGAAGTGAAAACTGCTGAACACACACTTTCTTTGTGCTCGTGCTGCAGAAGTGTGTGAAGCAAAGTTGAAGCGAAACTTGGCGTGACCGAACCACAGATGCAGTGTGTCGGGGGTCAAAGGGTCAAAGGTCACCGTGTCAGTCGGCCGTACGAGGCGTTCAGCGATTAAACAGGCAGGTTTGATTTGAAATGTTCTGGACTTTATTCAGTGCTTGATTGAAAATGTGAAAAATTAAACATCTGAACTAGATTACAGGAAATGTTTTTCACACAAGATTACATTTTACAGTACGTCAGTAAATCAATCAATCATCATTTTATTGGTAACTCTTTACAATAAGCTCCCATTAGTTAATGTTGGTTAATGCATTGGTTAAAACAATCAAGCTGATCATAGTTAGTTCATGTCAGATCCATTAAACAATATTAGATACAACGTTTGATTTTAATAATGTATTAATTAATTTTGATAAACTGTAGAATAAATGCTGTATAAATACTGTTTATTGCTAGTTCATGTTAACTAATGTGGACCTAAAGTGTAAAGTGTTACCAGTTAATTGATCATTAGTGATGAAATGATTATATTGTATTATATATATCCATCTTTGGCAAACACTCCGTATTGAATCACAGTATCGATCAGAGAAATCACTCATAATAAGAACACACATTTTCTAAAAAAAAACAGACTTGTCTTCATAGGTTTGTTAATTAATACTGGATCATATATCTAATATATGAAATGTTAAAAATGTGGAAAAGTCACATTCAGCTTCATTTGACGGAGTGTTTGTTCATAACTGAAATGATTAGTGGCTCTATAATAACAATAACTCGAGTTACAGATGCTTGAGTGTTAGAAATGGTTAATTATCATAACGATACAGTAATGAAGAAGGCAATCACATGACAGTGGTGTACAGCAGTTCCTCTGTGAGCTTTTAGGGCTCACACACACTCGTTACGCGCGGTGAATCGAGTCGCGTTAGCTGTGTTTCTGAAAGCTGGCTGGCGTTTGCCTGAATATGTGCACAAAACCCCGTGTTTTTCCCTTTACGGCCTTGGAATCAATTGATTCACTGTGTTTTTGACAGTCAGACTCAGAAAATGTAACCATAATTGTGTTTGAGGAACTAGATTTATGATTTTAGAATATTTTTAACAAGCATTAATTGTTTTTGACTGTATTCTATTTTTTAAGCATTATTTATTAAAACATATGTGTTCATATGAAGAATCAGTAACTGCACTGATTTAAGTCATTCGAGTCTTAAAGCGTCGTTCACTTTAAATAAAAATACAGATATTTTGAAGAAATTTGAGGTCCAAACAACACCTCAATTACTTTCATTATTTGGATGAAAAAACGCCAAGATGTTTTTAAAATATCATCTTTTGTGTTCCACAGAAAGTAGCAGTTAATCGAATCATTCATTCAAGAGATTCGTTCAAAAACGCTGATTCATCTAGTAATGAAACTAGTATTGGAGTGAGTCATTGAATCATTCAATCAAGAGATGTGTTCAAAAACACTGATTCATCCAGTAATGAAACAAGTATGTGAGTGAGTCATTGAATCATTCATTCAAGAGATTCATTCAAAAACGCTGATTCATCCAGTAATGAAACAAGTATTTGAGTCATTGAATCATTCATTCAAGAGATTTGTTTAAAAACGCTGATTCATCCAGTAATGAAACAAGTATGTGAGTGAGTCATTGAATCATTCATTCAAGAGATTCGTTCAAAAACATTGATTCATCCAGTAATGAAACAAGTATTGGAGTGAGACATTGAATCATTCATTCAAGAGATTCATTCAAAAACGCTGATTCATCCAGTAATGAAACAAGTATTTGAGTCATTGAATCATTCATTCAAGAGATTTGTTTAAAAACGCTGATTCATCCAGTAATGAAACAAGTATTGGAGTGAGTCATTGAATCATTCATTCAAGAGATTCGTTCAAAAACGCTGATTCATCCAGTAATGAAACATTTGAGTGAGTCATTGAATCATTCACTCAAATTAATGAAACATTTTCGAAATGACTGTAGCAATTAACATTTTGTCAGAACTTCTAGTAAATTACATGTTATTTTGTTTAATTGTCTGCTCAGAATCATGGGAGAATCACAATTAATTTGAAACGATTGTGATTCTCAATTTATCCAGGACCGTGCAGGATCTCGTTGTACACATTTAATTCAGACTCGCATCTCAGATAAAACATTTAAATTTTCTGTGACGCTGCAGATTGAAATGAATCTAAATGCTTTCATAATTGACAAATTTTTGCAGATATTTTCGCTGTAGAAATAAAGCTGACTTGATTTGTGGATTCAGAAACACGTTGCAGGAACGCAGATGCTCCAGAACCGGTTCTCGATCTCCGACAGCAAACTTTAGTGTGTTTGAGCCCTTATGAGTTTAACATCATAACACAAAAATAACAATGTAAAACTGCAACAAAAAAAACAACTTCATTTAGATCTGATTGATCAAACTGAATAAACCCCGTAACCAGACGGTAGTTCGTTAAAGAGAAATCAATGGAAGTGATTATAATCATGTGCAATGCCACTGAGGTGCTTTGAAACGTGTGAAACGGGAGCGTGGAGCGAGCACGAGCGTCCTGTGCGGTGTTGAAACGGGATGGACCGATGAATCTGCTGTGGATCTGGAAACTTCAGGCACTTGCGGGTGTGGAAACATCTACATATCTTACCAGTCCTTGTTTTAACACACAGACAGAGAGGCACATCAGGAACACATGCCTGAGGATAACGCAGCGCACTGAAGAGTCCTCCAAACTCTTATGGAAAAGAGTTAAAAGCCGGGAATCAAATCAAACATGAGCCTTTGATTTGAAGCGAAATATAATGTTAGGAATCTTGCAGTCAGGAATCAGTTGCTCTGGAGAACGACTGGGATTCTGATCGCTCGATTAGAGCCGCGCGATACTGGGGAAACTGACCTTGCGATGTTTTGCTGTTCTGCGATATATACTGCCAGGGTTCTCAAGTTTGATCAAAAGCTTGGAGTGAGATCACATGCGGTTAGGGGAGGAGCCTTAATGGAGCCCCGCCCCCTCCCATCCCCGCCCCCAATTTTACCCATTGTTCATAATAACCAGCACAAATTGAAATTATAGCAGTTGGTAAATCTGATAAATGACAGAGCAATTCATCACATCACATATAGGCATACTCTTTAATGTTATATTTCAAAATTACAAATAACAAATTGTTTCAAACAGTTTGGAAAAACAAATATTTTTGCATTTTTCCCTGATATCTTTGAAAAATACAAATGCAATAGCAATGATTAGGCTATGCTTAGTATGTTTTGACAGGATATAAAATATTACCCAGGGCACTCTGCTTTAATACACGTAGCCTTAATGTAACTAGAAAGACTATTAATACAGTAAAATATATAATTTAAAATAAAATTAAGAAATACATCTTAATTCCTTCCCATAACATTTCCCTTAGTTTCAGATAACTAGCCAAACTGAGTCAAAGCTTCTGGCCTGGTTGCAAAGTAGTTGTAGAGTTTTTGACTGCATCAATAATGTATACGAGGGGCTATATATTAAATGTTCTAGCCTAAAAATGTTAGACGAGCTTTCTTCCAACTTACATTCTCCATGACGACGTGTGTTCGCGCGATGTCGCGGTGGCCGAGAATATGTCCGTCAACTTCCGTGTGTTCGCGGACTTCACGCATCTATGTTGCCTACTAGTAACGAACGCAATCTGGCCGAGATACGGACGCGCTGGCGGCAGGAAACTTCACTTTGTGTGCCTGCGCCTCGTATACAACGTTATATATAAAGCTTGCAGGACAACTTGGTTGGCATTGCCTTTTCAGCGTGAGAAATACACGGTGTGGCGTGTGAGCGTGTGAACTGGTTGAATTGCGTGTGTCTCACGGCCAATGCGTGAGACTTGAGAACCCTGATACTGCGATATATATTGCTATATTTAATAATACTTGGATATTTCTATTTGAAAATAATGAATCATTCTAGAATGAATGGGGTGATTTTATGGAAGCTTGTTTCCGCCACAGACTAAAACATTTTAAAAGATAATTGCGACTTAACAATTTCTACTTTATATCTCACAATTCTGACTTTACAACGACTATCTCTCATAATTGTGACTTTATATCACGCAATTCTGACTTTATAACGCAATTGCGAATATATCTCATAATTCTGACTTTATATCTCTCAATTGCGACTTTATATCTCACAATTTTGACTTTATAACGCAATTGCGAATATATCTCACAATTCTGACTTTATTTCTCTCAATTGCGTAACTTTATATTACGCAATTCTGACTTTATAACGCAATTGCGAATATCTCACAATTCTGACTTTATAACACGCAATTGTGACTTTATATCTCACAATTCTGACTTTATATCTCACAATTCTGACTTTATTTCTCTCAATTGCGAATACATCTCACAATTCTGACTCTCTCAATTGCGACTTTATATCTCACAATTCTAACTTTATTTCTCTCAATTGCGAATATCTCACAATTCTGACTATTTCTCTCAATTGCGACTTTATATCTCACAATTCTAACTTTATAACACGCAATTGCGAATATATCTCACATATCTCACAATTCTGACTTTATAAAGCAATTGCGAATATATCTCACAATTCTGACTTTATAACACGCAATTGCGAATATATCTCACAATTCTGACTTTATTTCTCTCAATTGCGACTTTATATCATGCAATTCTAACTTTATAACACGCAATTGAGACTTTATATGAACCAAACCATTCTGAAACAACCGCTAGCGCATATTTACCTGGATTTGACAATCGCACAAAGCCATATCGCAATATACATATTTTCCCCAATATATCGTGCAGCCTTATGGCCTGTTCACACCAAGGACGATAACTATAACGATAAAGATATAGTTCTAAAAAAAGATAATTCTAAATATGAAAGAACAACAATAACGATAACGACACAGAGAAACAATATCGTTGGAATAATTTTCAGAAAGATCTTTTCCAGCTGATGAACGATAAAAACATTGACAGCCAATCAGAATCCACCCTGCTTTAAAGAGCTCGAGCATTTACCGAATATCGTGATTCGCGAGCTGGTGTGGACGCTAATATAGTATTGTATCGTTCTTGGTGTAAACAGGCCTTTACACTCGAAAATGAGTGAAGATCTCAATCCCAAATCAGTCATCTGAACCTGTGAGCTCATGCTGAGAGTTTGAGTCACATGATGAATCTGCAGTGATCAATGAGATGTGTGAGCGCATTAGCCGTCGCTATCATCATTAGCATGTTCATTCAAAGTGACGTCAATCAACACGTCTGCTAACAGATACACTAACAGAACAGAAGATTTGATTAGGGCTGAGAGATAATGACGGATGAGCAGCACAATGCATCGGGTTAGAAACAGGGTTAGTATCGTAAACCTAATGCTATTTAAAAATGTGTTCATTTAAATAAAGCTGCAAGAAAATTTAATAAAATATCAATAGTTGAAAAACTTAAAACTAAACAAAAAATAATAAAAATGTTGAGAATAATCTTATATAAGTTTAAGTTAAAGCACTAAAATTATTAACTGGAAATAAATAAAAACTAAAACATAAAAATAAATTAAACCTAAATAAAAAATTTTGCCCTGGCAATAAACTGATGTGTTTAAGTTGAAGTACTAAAATTATTACCGGTAACTTGAACTAATACTAAACTAAAACATATATAAATATATATATATATATATATATATATATATATTAAAAACTAATAAAATGACAAAAGCACATAAAGAAAATACAAAAATTAACTCTCTCCACCACCGTAAAAAAAAAAAAAAGAAGTTGCCAGCGTTTTTGATCATTTTATTTTGTTGTATGAATATCTGAATATGCAATATATCAAAACAAAGAACAAAAGTCTCTGCTTTTAAACAAAAAAAAATCTAAATGTTTCATTCTAGCTTCATGCATTCTTTATTTTTATCAATATTTGAATGTGTGAATCAGCTGCATTATTTATTCTAAGTTAAAAACAAAATGTTAAATGATTCGTTTGTGTCGTTAAATTTTCTTATGTTTTAGTAAAAAAAAAATATACATGGGTAAATACTGCTATTTATCATGAAACAGTTATTGAACGTTGTCTAAATGCTTTTATTATTATTTTTATTATAAATATTGTCCAGCCCTAGTGAGGAGTCGATTCAGCTGATATTACCCTGATCACATGTGATCTCGGCCGCGTTATTAAAGCCACAGCATTAGCATGCTTTGATTTTCACTCGCAGACGTTGTTTTGATTTAGAAGCAAATGCATGCGTTATTGCATGATTTAATCAAACTTATGAGAAGAATGCACAGAAGTTCAAAAAGTAGGAAAATAATCACTGTTAGAAACGGCTGTAAATCATGCGTAGAGGAGTTAAACCTCAGGAGACACGAGGAACATCTGGGCCACATTTCAAAATCAAAAAAAAGAAAATCATATTTTGCATAAATGACACTCAACACTTTACAATAAGGTCTATTTTTTAACATTAGTTAATATGGACTAACTGAGCAATATAGATTACAGCATTTATTACCTTTGTTAATGTTAGTTAATAAAAATACAGCGGTTCACTGCTTGTTCATGTTCACAGTGCATTAACTAATGTTAACAGATACAACTTTTGATTTTAATAATGTATTAGTAAATGTAGAACACAAACTAAGATTAATAAATGCTGTAGAAGTATTGTTTATCGGTAGTTTATGTTAATAGACAGCATTGTAAAGTTTCACCAGAAAATTAAAAAGTTAATATTTTGTGCACTATTTTTTTTTTATACCAAGATCCAAAATTGTGCGTATGCAAAATGCATTGCAAAAAAAAAAAAAAATAGTGCAAAATATATTTTAATATCATCAATAGTTCATGTAAAAAAAAAAAAAAACGAATTATAAGGTTTTGCATGTAAAAAAAAAACGAATTATAAGGTTTTGCCAGATGTATTTTTTGCACTATTTTTTGCCAAATTCAAAAGATAAAATGAAAAATGCATTGCAAAATAATCTTGCAAAATGTAATTTCTTTGGATTTTTGGGGGAAATGTGACCCAGACGTGAGGAAACGAGGTATACCTTCTTTGGTCTGATGGATTGCTCGGCATTGAAACTGGACTCGAGAGTTTCTTTGGAGTCGGACTCTAGATCCTTGATGTCACTCTCATCCTCGCTGACGATTGGACCGTTTTCACAGATTGGAGACTGGAAGTCGTCGTCCGGGAGAGGCGGATAACTGTACTTGAACTGGTCCTATTAGATAAAACAAAAGAATATTACCACAAATCTTAAAGCCATATTTGACTTAAAGTCCCGCTGTGGTGTAACTCCAGCTTTTAATGTTGTTTATGTGTCTATGTGGTGTTATTAATACGCTTAAAGCATGTGTAAGTTCACAAGTCGACAGCATTGCTGAGTATTTCCTCCTTAAAACTGCAGTGAACCAAAGACAGTCTCAAAAACACGGTTTGAAATCGCTGGTGTTTCTGACGTCACAAACGACCTTGTAACCAATCAGATCAACGTGTGATCGTCAACCAGTGGATCTCTGAGCTGAGTGAGCGAGTGGAGGCGGGGGTCATTTGCATATTCATAGAACCGCGCATACTAAATAAGGCGAGGGTGTCGAGTTACATTCAAGATATTTTTAGGAAAAAACACTTAAATATGTCATTTTGGTGATCAGAGATGAGTTTTAAGGGATAACATGATGGACTACAGGGGGACTTTAAACACTATGGCTGGGCTGAAAATATTGATTCTTGCCTAAACATGATTTATAGCGCGTCTCCCATCCAATTAATCGCGTTAGGCTTTGTTACTTTTGATATGAAGAAGTCTCAGCTTTCAAATTCTGACAAATTCAAGCTATAAATGTGGTTTTGCAGCTCTTTAATGTGTGCTGACAGATCAGTTGAACCGATCATCTCTTCCTCTTCACTACTAGTTACAGCAGCAAATAAACATCAATGAACATCAGAAGGAATGTTGAAAGATACAGAAATCAATCATGTAATCGATCAATCAGCGTTTCAACCTCGATAAAACAGCTTGAGAACAATAAAGTCACATTTACCTCAGAAAAGACATTCAATGTCCATAAACTCAATAGTAGTTAGATAGAAAATAACTTGCAAAGTTATTGCAAGCTTGTGAAAGCTTTACGTACCGTTCCTCCCATGTACGGCGGCAGGTGTTCGGGGCCGACGAACGTCTGGATGTCAGTCTTGGTGACGAACTTGAGTTTACTGATGGCATCAGGGCCGAGCCACGTCTTCACGATCTTCCAGGCGGCTGCCACACACAAGACAAGCTCGTCAAGTCACGTGTGCTTACAGGAGGAACTCGAAAAATGTGAATATCGTGCAACAGTTCATTTATTTTACCTTAAAAGGTGAAACTAATATATTATATAGACTCATTACATGCAAAGTGAGATATTTCAAGCCTTTATTTGTTATAATTTTGATGATTACAGATATAAAAACCACAAATTCAAAATTTGAATATTGTGAAAAATGTTTCTTATCTGTAAGCCATAATCATCAAAATTATAACAAATAAAGGCTTGAAATATCTCACTTTGCATGTAATGAGTCTATATAATATATTAGTTTCACCTTTTAAGTTGAATTACTGAAATAAATGAACTTTTGCACGATATTATAATTGTTCGAGTTTCACCTGTATTTTGCGCTTTTTACAACACAGTTTCAAAACAGCTTTGCAGAGATAACAGGAAAACAATGCAACAAAGTTTGTTTCTAAAAGGAAATACACAAGTTCAGTGATGGTTCATTGTTAGGACAAATTAACATCATTACAAAGATCTGTCATTTATCAGCCAATCACAACTCACCATTCATGATCCAGGGCATCTCGTACATGATCATTTTGGCTGTGATTAAAACAAAAAATACATAAATGTTTAAACAAACCAAGTGACTGTGGAAAGTTATAATATGTAAAATGATGATATTTTGGAAATCTCTTTCTATAATACAAGGATTCCCAAACTTTTTTAGTCAGCCAAATCCCTTTGAGCTAAAAAGCCCCCTGAGATTTTAAGTTAATATTTCGGTAACACTTTACAATAAGGTTCATTAGTTAACATGAACTAAGAATGAACCAATTCTTCTACAGCATTTAATAATCTTAGATAATATTAGTTTCAACATTTACTAATACGTCATTAAAATCAAAGGTTGTGTTGTTAACTTTAGTTAATGCACTGTGAACTAACATGAACACACAATGAACAGCTGGATTATTATTAACTAACATTAACAAAGATTAATAAATACTGTAACAAATGTATTGCTCATTGTTCGTAAATACATTAATGTTAACTAATGAACCTTAAGTGTAAAGTGTTACCAATATTTCAATAATTTATGAGCACATTGGCATCTTTTTTTAAGTATTTATTACATTTGATTTAATTATTGGCTTTTCATCAAGTCTGCTATAACAGAAGGTTGAATAAACAGAATACACTCACAAAGAAACTTTGGATAGTACACTTTGAAGCAGTTAATGATATATTTCACGAAGTCCATATCCTAGAAGAGAAGAACATAGGAAAGAGCGTTAGACGCAGCCAAACACAGTCAAGAACAGCAGATTTATGTTGCCAGGCGGATTTGTCCAATTCTTTTATAATCATAAAATAAGCTGATGGTGGCGCTAGAGAGTTTTAAGCAGAGACCCTAAATTTGGTGTGAATAATGTTCAGATCCTTTGCAATAAATGTGCCAAATTTCGTGATGTTTCTCCAAACGGTTCTAGGAGTTTTTAATTTTTTCATTGATTTAATGTTTATAATTTATAGAGCTGGATGAAATGATGGTGTATACTGTAATTTTACCGCGGTAAATATATCAGCCTGTCTAGTAGTGAGCAAAACTGCGTTAGATTATTATAAAACATGGATTTTTGGGGGGTTTGGGTCATTCAGTTTTAGATAAAAAAATAAAATAAAAATAAAAAGGTTTTCATTTGTTAAGCATTTTATTCACTGGAATTTTACACACAAAAAAAAAGACAAATCCAAATTTACCACCAAATTTATTTAATATATCTAGCATTTTTCATTGAAATGTTGAGTATTGAAATGCATTTCAGTGAGAGTGTTTGTTACTGACCCACTTTATAAAGAGTAAACCGTTGTCTCGTGTTAAACTGTAAAGGAGCCATTAATCCATTAGTTAACTAACTGTGAAAGGTCACTGTTGGGGTCAAACCACACAGCTCGACCACCACACACACACACACTGATCTACATGATCACTAGTACAGTGTACAACCGGTTAGTCATTCTGATCTGAGATTGTGCAATCCTGTGTTTACTGAACGCTCGAGTAACCTTTAGCTCTGTTTGTTGTTGACGCTTACATTTGCTCTCCGTGTCCGTTCCTGGAAGCAACAACCTTTTGCATTACTGACTCTTCAAGGAAAGTTTATTACAAGAACACAACAGAATAGTTTTTATATGGAATATTTAAATACTTGGGATGGTCATGGAATAATTTGGAGGAAAACAAACAACTTTGTCTGGCTTTTAGCTTGCTTAGTTGAGGACATTACATTTAATATTCAACAATATTATTGATCTCCTGTATTGACATCATTATATGAGAACTGAACTGAGCTGGACCATGACATCACGGTTTTCTCCAGAGCCGCTATATATATAAATTAACTAAATTAATAATTGTTTACAACAGAAATGAAGCATCACTGGACTTACTTAAGCTGGACTGTGACACTATTTTCTTCTAGAAACACATTTTGTTGCATTATTTTCCTGTTATCTCTGTAAAGCTGCTTTGAAACACTCTGTATTGTAAAAAGCGCTGTATAAATAAAGGTGTTTTGACTTTTTAACTATTTTATCTGAAGAATTTCCCCAAGAATTAGAATTAAAGCGAGTGAAATGTATATCTGGAAGCACGTTAGGCTCTTTATAACCTATAGGATCAACATTACAGACGCATTAAGATACAAAATCAAGGTTTGTGTTTCTAGAGATCATATGAAAAGTCATATTTTGAGGTAATTTTGGTGCTAAAGTTGGTGAATAATTTTCAGATCCTTTGAAAAAAAATGTAATTTGAATTTCAACGTGATATTTTCCAGAGCAGCGTTACACCCCTACTCGCCGTAATGAAGACAGGCCTTCATATCATAAACATGCAAAACCAATTTACAGTCATATAAGATAAGCGTTAATGAAAGCGCACTGTAATTCTGGCGTTAGGTTTGATAGGCTCAGCTTGGGCCATTTCTGCAGAAACACGAGGCGAGGAGATTGGCTGTTTGACGGGGACTTCTCTCGGATTAAGCAAGCGAGTTGGGTTGACCGGAGAGATTTAAAGGCCACGTTAATCTGCCGTGTGTTAAAGCGTTGAAGGGCGCCTGTCCCTCTGCACCTTCGACTCATACAGCACATAATCACGTTTATATAATACAGATAATGACCCTAAAATGACTGTCAGTAACGGCCTAATCAGAGCAAACGCAGAACGAGCTTCGGTTTTCTTCATGGTTTATGTGAGGAACATCCAAACACTAAAACTAATTCTGAACTATTATATTGGGCTGTAACTATTATTTGTACTTCATGTTCTTCTGAAAGAGGAATGCTCTAAATATTTATGTTATTTGTAGTGCTGGGCAACGATTAATCGTGATTAATCGCATCCAAAAAAAAAGTTTGTGTTTACATTAAAGTTTGTGTTTACAAAATGTACTGTGTATATTTTGTATATATATAAATACACACATATGCATGTATACATTTAAGAAAAATTTGTTATTATATTTAAAATATTTATTTTATATTTATATTAATATTATTTGTAGTGCTGGGCAACGATTAATCGCATCCAAAATAAAAGTTATTTATTAAATATTTATACTTATACTATAATATAAATTATTTATTAATTTATTAATTAATTATGTATAACTATATATATATTAGTGCTGTCAAACGATTCAAATATTTAATCGCGATTAATCGCATTAATGTCATAGTTAACTCACGATTAATCGCACATTTTTATCTATTCTAAATGTCTCTTGATTTCTTTTTGTCCCATTATTTTTTCTCATTTTAATGCTCTTATCAACATGGAAAAGTGGATCGGCTTGCTTTGTGCAAATGTTTTTTATTGAAAACAACATTGGCATATACAGTGTTCAATTTCACACTAACATTCTCACTTGGAGCAAATAATCTCTCACACAATGTAACACTGTCCATCAATAAAAGGGTGAAATACTGACGAGGTCCTGATATTGACGAGGGGGCGGAGAATTCGCATCAGCTGTGTGTGTGTGTGTGTGTGTGTGTGTGTGCTTGGCCATCATCAAGTGGTGTTTCAGACTGGACGTGCTGCGATGATGATAGCTCAGTTCACAACGACAAAACACACAGATCACTTTGGTCTCGTCAATGGAACCATTTGGCAACTTTTTAAAAGTAAACTTTCCATTCAGAATCTTATTGGCATCCATTTCGGCGTCTCGCGCTCGTCATCCACTCAAAACGTAACGTTAACCTCAAGGAAATACCTCGCAAGGCGTGCCTGTTGTTTTGTTTCCAGTCTAGCTAGATCCGCTTGCGCTTTTAAAACGTCCTCGCGCGGCGCAAGCCATTGAAATGAATGGGTTTCATAGCGTAGCGCCGCACGGCCGCGTCCTGTTGCGAAAGCATGTGGAAAAAACTACAAAGTTTGCCAGGCCAAAAAGACCATTAATCGCGCAATAAACGCCGTTAAAATGGGTTTGCGTTAACGCCGTTAATAACGCGTTTAACTGACAGCCCTAATATATATATATATATATATATATACATGCAAATCTTTATTTCTTAAAGAGGAATGCTCTAAATATTTATGTTAATATTATTTGTAGTTATTAATCACTTCCAAAATAAAAGTTTGTTTACATAATTTGTGTGTATACTGTGTATAATTATCTTGTATATATAAATACACACATATGCATGTATATATTTAAGAAAAATGTGTTATTTATATATCAAATATTTATACTTATATATATATATGAAGAGTTTGGTTCCAAAACGCAATAAATCCATTTTGATTAATTTGAGTAAAAATGTGTTTTCTTTACCAAGAAAGTGGAAAGATGAAAACCACTATTTTCTGTTTCAAACTGTCACATAGCATTTGTAGGTCATAATAACAAAAAAAAATTAAAATCCAGGTTTTGATTTTCAAAGATTTATTATAAAAACGGATTATTTTTTTCCCCAAAATGCAATAAATCCATTTTTTTTTTTTTTTATCAAAATGCAATTTATCCATTGAATCAATATAAAAAAAAAAATTTCATATTGAAACTGTTGAAAATACACAACAACGTAAGTTTATTAGTATAATATTTTTATTAAGAACTGTAAAGAAGATTGAAAACATTTGTCCTCCTCCCGAGTGCCTCATCTTCTTAATCTCCTCACGTAAATGATTCGATTTCGATGCCTTACGTTTCTCACCCACCGCAGAAACAACCACAGGTTCATCAATGCCGTCAATATTATTCATTTTTTTGTTTGTTTGTTGATCGAAAAGAACAAAATTGATAAGAAAAACTAGGAAGCCGGGTGTATTTAAGGCGCTGCCGTTACGGTTTACATTGCGTGGAATGGTGCGCTGTGATTGGTTGAGAGTGGAATGGTGCGTTGTGATTGGTTGAGAGTGGAATGGTGCGTTGTGATTGGTTGAGAGTGGAATGGTGCGTTGTGATTGGTTGAGAGTGGAATGGTGCGTTGTGATTGGTTGAGAGTGGAATGGTGCGCTGTGATTGGTTGAGAGTGGAATGGTGCGTTGTGATTGGTTGAGAGTGGAATGGTGCGTTGTGATTGGTTGAGAGTGGAATGGTGCGTTGTGATTGGTTGAGAGTGGAATGGTGCGCTGTGATTGGTTGAGAGTGGAATGGTGCGTTGTGATTGGTTGAGAGTGGAATGGTGCGTTGTGATTGGTCGAGAGTGGAATGGTGCGTTGTGATTGGTTGAGAGCGGATATATCTGCAGAGAAGGGAGACTGGCGTTTGTCGCGGTTTGGAAAGAAAGGGAGAAAACATGACAGAATAACACGGCGGATATCGCATTTTACTTAAAATTAAACATTGACTTTTCAATACCAACCAGATACAATACTGATTTTTGCAGTAACTAATTTTTTTTAGAAATGGCGTTTATCGCGTTTTGGAACCAAACTCTTCATATATACAGTAGTCAACATTTGAAGTGGATCAAAAAAGTTGTTCAAAATTAATGTATAACTTTGCCTTGGCTTTTGGCTTGCTTAGTTGGGGACATTTAATATTCAATAATATTATTGATCTGCCTTACTTAAGGTGGACGTTGAAGCAATTTCTTTTAGAAACAAACTTTGTTATATTGTTTTCATGTTATCACTGTGAAGCGCTTTGATACAATCTGTATTGTAAAAAGCGCTATATAAATAAAGGTGACTTGACTTAACTTTGATGAAAGGTTTTGATCCACTTCAAATGTCGACTACTGTAATATAAATTATGTATACATATATATACAGTATATGCATGCAAATATTTCTCTAATATATACATGCATACCGGTATGTGTGCAAAATAATTATACGCAGTACACACACATATATTATGTGAACACAAACATTTATTTTGGATGCGTTTAATCGTTAGGAGTGTGGCATTGTCAGGATTGAAACATTTTTAGACCTGATTTTGGTCATTTTATAGTATGAAGAGTGAAGAAGAACTCACTATATTACTGAGTCCGGACTCAGACATGTCGAACACGACCGTCAGGGGCATTCCTGGCTCACGTCTAGCGTAGCGCTCCAGCCAGAACGCCACATACCTCTTCTTATCCACTATCGTCTTGGCATCCTTCACGTGGAGTTTCACTCTGAACCAGACTATATCACACACACACACACACACACCGGGAGAAGAAATACAGACGCATGGATTAATTTATTGATTCTTCAGTGGAAATTCAGTGCAAGTAAATGCTGCATTTGTAATAAAAGCACTTCATTTACACTAAGACTGTGTTATTAATCGCATCTAACATAAAGGTTTGTTTATATAATATGTGTATGTGTATATATATATAATATATACAGTATATAAATATAATTTAAATATATAAATATACACACACACACACGTTATGTTCGATGCAATTAATTACACAGTCTTAGTGTGAATGAAGTGCTTTTCTATATATATATATATATATATATATATATATGTATATGTGTGTGTGTATATATATATATATATATATATATATATATATATACTTATAATTAAAAAATATGCAACATGCACGTTTAAACAACAAAATCAAAACCGCTCGTGTGATGAGAGACGGCACAGCGAGTTTAAGTTATGATTATGGTTCCAGAGGCCTTAAAGCGTTTTGTGATTGTTTTGTATGAAATATTGAAGTTTATAAACAAGTGTTTAGGCACACCAAGCCGAGTGGCGCTACGCATTCTCTAAAATCTGTTTTTATTCTGGCATGTTAAATTAGCGTTCGACAAACGTGTCGGCGTACATACACACACATATCACTTAGATTTTTAATATAATTTAAAATATATATTTAAGTTTTTTTTTAATAAGTTGCACTGAATTATGTTTTATACTAACAATATCTGCAATTTATTATATAATAAATTATATAAAAAATACATAAACTTTATATATATATAAAAAAATATTTTATATATATAAATTCTTAAGAAAACCTTTTTTTCAACGTTGTTTTTACTTTGGCTGCTACTTGCTCTGAAATGGCATGAAATTATTTATATATATATATATATATATATATATATATATATATATATATATATATAAATATATAAAATAAAAGTTGTATGTTTTTGTAGTCAAGTAGATTCAAAATTAAGTAAATCAGTAAAAAAATAAAATCTATTTTCAAGTAATTAAGGCATGATTTCCACAACGATTTCCACTGAATTTTGGCAAGCACGGTTTATTGCAATTAAGAACGGTGTTTATAACGTGCAGAGGAGGATTAAGCTCCACCTACAGAGTTTGTTCCCTTCTTTGTCGTATCCGTGAAGGTAAACGGCGCCGCTCTCGAACATCCACCGGGGAATACTGCTCTCCACCAGATCTACAGGAAGAAGAACACAACAAAAACAAAATACCATTCATTCATCACATTTCTGCTCGAGTCATCACAACCGCATCAGTTTAGCTCAGTGAACATCTGATAGGAGAAAATCAACACTGACTGATTTGGTTTCGGTGGCACTGACAGTTACAGATCAGCTGAAGTGACTGAGTTAACACACTGAAGGTGTAAAGAAGTGAACTCATGTTGTCATTGGGATCAAAGGAAAATACTATTAATAATATGATATGGATCAGTATTACAGGACTGATCATTACAGTGGTCAATAAAGGCTTTCATTCATATATATAGAACATATTTTTAACATAGAGAGTCAAAATTATGACATGATAAGTCAATTATGAGACGAAAAGTCAAAATTATGACATACTAAGTCATTTTTTTAAACATAGTATGGCACAATTTCGACTTTCTAAGTCATATATTTAACAGAAAGTCAAAATGATGACATACTAGGTCATTTATAACAGAAACATGAAATTAGTACATACTAAGTATGTCAATTTCGACTTTTCATCTCATAACTGACTGACATTTATGACATAGAAAGTCAAAATTATGACGTACTTCAGAAATATTTCAGAAATAGTTTTATGGGGTTGGAAACTGTCATTAAAATAATTTCACACTGCAAAAGATCGCATTAGTCCAAAAATAAGTTTAATTTTCTTTTTTTTGGTAAATGGGGCCAGGACGTGTTCGGAATCCTAATAAGTATGTCATCATTTCATCTTTCTGTGTTATAAATATGACTAAGTCAATTATGAGATGAAAAGTTGAAATTATGACATCCTAAGTCATTTTTTTAAACATAGTATGTCATATTTTCGACTGTCATATTTTTAACATAGTCAAAATTATGACATACTAAGTCAATTATGAGACGAAAAGTCAAAATTATGACATACTAGGTCATTTATAATAAAAAGATGAAATTAGTACATACTAAGTATGTCAATTTCGACTTTTCATTTCATAACTGACTCACATTTATAACATAGAAAGTCAAAATTATGATGTACTTCAGAAATATTTCAGAAATAGTTTTATGGGGTTGGAAACTGTCATTAAAATAATTTCACACTGCAAAAGATCGCATTAGTCCGAAAATAAGTTTAATTTTCTTTTTTTTTTGGTAAATGTGGCCAGGACGTGTTTGGACAAGTCTAAATTATGACATCCTAATACGTATGTCATCATTTCATCTTTCTATGTTATAAATATGACGAAGTCAATTATGAGATGAAAAGTTGAAATTATGACATAGTGAGTCATATTTATAACAGAATGTCGAAATTATGACATACTAAGTCATATTTTTAACATAGTATGTCATCATTTCGACTTTCTAAGTTATATGTTTAACATAGTGAGTCAAAATTATGACATACTAAGTCAATTATGAGACGAAAAGTCAAAATTATGAAATACCAAGTAATTTTTTTTAACATAGTACGTCATAATTTCGACTTTCTAAGTCATATATTTACCAGAAAGTCAAAATTATGACATACTAGGTCATTTATAACATAGAAAGATGAAATTAGTACATACTAAGTATGTCAATTTCGACTTTTCATCTCATAACTGACTCATATTTATAACATAGAAAGTCAAAATTATGATGTACTTCAAAAATATTTCAGAAATAGTTTTATGGGGTTGGAAACTGTCATTAAAATAATTTCACACTGCAAAAGATCGCATTAGTCTGAAAATAAGTTTAATTTTCTTTTTTTGGTAAATGTGGCCAGGACGTGTTTGGACAAGTCTAAATTATGACATCCTAATAAGTATGTCATAATTTTTATTTTTCTATGTTATAAATATGAGTATGACTAAGTCAATTATGAGATGAAAAGTTTAAATTATGACATAGTGAGTCATATTTATAACATTGTCGAAATGATGACTTTCTAAGTCATATTTTTAACATAGAGAGTCACAATTATGACATACTAAGTCAATTATGAGACGAAAAGTCAAAACTATGACATACTAAGTCATTTTTTAAACATAGTATGTCATAATTTCGACTTTCTAAGTCATATTTTTAACATAGTCAAAATTATGACATACTAATAAGTATGTCATAATTTTGACTTTTCGTCTCATAATTGACTAAGTCATATTTTTAACATAGTATGTCATAATTTCGACTTTCTAAGTCATATTTTTAACATAGAGAGTCACAATTATGACATACTAAGTCAATTATGAGACGAAAAGTCAAAATTATGACATACTACGTCATTTATAACATAGAAACATGAAATTAGAAACGTGAAAAGTATGTCATAATTCCGACTTTTCATCTCATAACTGACTCATATTTATAACATAGAAAGTCAAAATTATGATGTACTTCAAAAATATTTCAGAAATAGTTTTATGGGGTTGGATTGGGGTGGGAAGTTGAATTTTCTTTCTGGTAAATGTGGCCAGGACGTGTTTGTTTTTTCACGAGATTCACGCAACAGGAACAGTTGAGCATGTGAGTAACTTCCTCATTTCAGCCTGTTTCTGTGAAAGAGCCTCACACACACACACACACACACCGTTGAGCTGAAACTCTCTCCTCCACTGCAAGCTCTCGTCGATCATCTTTAAGGTGTCGTCCACCACGAAGTGTCTCCATGTGAGGTATCCTTCCAGCAGAGCATCATCTCGCAGGAGTTTCTCCACGTCTCTGCTGTCGTATTTGTCTTGGGACTCTGTTAGTGACAGCAGTGCAGGGTTTAATTAGTTGCTTATTTTATTTAATTAGTTGAAGTAAATACACAGACATGCATAAATCTGTGTTTATGCATATATAATATATATATATTTTATTTTTAGGATGCACGATATATCGGCCACCATATCGGTATATGTTGATTTGTAATATCGTTATCGGTCCAATGAGAAAATTTGGCCGATATATTGAAGCTGATAAATAGTGTATTATTTCCTTCAGCTGAGACACTTCACTGTTCAACATTATGGTTTTGAATTGCTTGAAATATGATTGGTCATATCACTTTCAAAAGGAAAATACGGTTCAGAGCAACACACGTCTATCATATCGGCTACATAAAATTATAATGAAAAAATCATTATAATTGTGTGTTTGGGACATTACTTTTAATGATGAGACTTTTGTTTTTGTAATCAGGCTCTCAAAAATGATATAAAAATTTGGATTTGGATTTATTGGCCAATATATCGGTTTTCGAATATAAAGAATTATCCGTTATCGGCCAAAATGTTCATATTGGTGCATCCCTATTTATTTCACACACACACACACACACACACACACACACACACACACACACACACACACACACACACACACACACACACACACACAGTACCGGTCAAAAGTTTGGAAACATTACTATTTTTAACGTTTTTGAAAGAAGTCTCTTATGCTCATCAAGCCTGCATTTGTTTGATTAAAAAAATACAGCAAAAAACAGTACTATTGTGAAATATTATTACAATTTAAAATGATGGTTTTCTTTTTAATATACTTTAAAATTCAGCTTTGCATCACAGAAATACATTATATTTTAAACACACTACTCGACACTGCACAATACAAGTTAGCCTGGTTATAAACCTATAAGGAAATGTTTTACAAGCGTGCATGAGAGTATATTTTCATACTACACCCCAGGAAATGTCATAAAACAATATGCAAAGACTGTAAGACTGACTTTTAGCACGTATTGCTACTTATTCCTTACTAGTGCTACTTTTACAACAGCAAAACAAAAATCAACATTATGAATAAAACATGAATTTTGATTTCTGACTGACAGTTGAATTCAACAGCTGTGATATCAAAAAATAAACAATTGCCCTTATAATGAATGACACGTGATCCTCAAAAGTCCCAAATGTCATTGTGGATACTTTTTCATATTTAATATCTGAATTAATAAGCAATTGTGAGATCAAGACTTCTGTGATGAATGTTATTGTGAAGCTTGAGAACTTAGCGTACTGCTAACTCACCCTCAACATACTCGCTTTTAAACCTCTGTCGTGTTTCTTCGATCTTGCTCTCGATGTCCTTTTAGAGAGAGCGAAATATTATTTATAAATCCATTTCAGATGAGAATAAAATGCGTAATCCTTGTTTTGTTTAGCTGTCTAATTACCTGCTCTGATTCCGTCTGTCCTGCCTCCGCCATGATGGTGCGCACTGTCAGTCAGCAGTGGCCTGGTGTTCAGTGGGATAGACCCCAGACTCCGTGAAACTGGACGCGGGATGACGCCATGTTGGCTCGGAGATGTCAAACTAACCTTTGAACAGGCTTTTGCAGCTAGATAAAGTTCCTCTGATGTGCTTTGGCAATTAAAGGCAAATGATTGCATCATGTGCGGAATCTAAAAACAGTAAAAGCCTATGACAACATCACTTATTTGTGAAACGGTGATTGAACTGTAGCACTGTTTCTTTAAGAGATACCCGGAAAACGTGACGTGCTGCAAACACGCGCGTACTTCGAGGAAGAGAGAAGAAGCGTTTGAGAATAACATAACATTAATTCCAGAGTAAAACTGTGTGAAAGTCATGCAGAGGTACAGTATGAAACCAGTTTTGTCACATTTTCTTTCTGGGATTTAATAGTGTGTATCATATATCGTATCACATGGATGCCCATTTCCGCCACATTAGGGAAAAAGTCTTATTTTGTAAACCATTATGACATAAAAAGTCTGAATAAGTGCATACTGAGTCAATTATGAGATTAAAAGTCGAAATTGTGTCATACAACGTCATATTAATAACATAGAAAGTGAAAATTAGTACATACTAAGTCCATTATGAGATGAAAATTCGAAATTGACTAACTTAGTCATTCATAACATCGAATAAGTCAATTATGAGATGAAAAGTCGAAATGATGACATACTAAGCCATATTTATAACCTCGAAAGTAGAAATTATGACATACTAAGTCAAATATGAGCTGAAAAGTCGAAATTACGACAAACTAAGTCATAATTAAAACTTTGTCATCATTTTTTCTTGGTATGTCTAATTTCGACTTTTTGTGTCATAATTATGATTTATAAAAGCATGATTTTATTTTCTTATGTGGTGGAAATGGGCTTCCATATTAATATTAAAGGCACAATTTTCACTATATCAGTTACAAACTAATTGAAACTAATTTACACAATTTCTGTAGAAATGATGTATATAAACACTATTAACTGTAACTTAATAGTGCATACAGAATGTTAATTATTTGTTATATTTTCAATATGTACAATTTTAAAGTTTAATTTTAATTATATGTTAAAACTACAGAGCTTTGATCATAAAACTAAGCATTTAAATAGCATCTGACTAAGACATATTATTGACGGATATTGATTTTTATATGCAGTTTATACTTTACTGTTATAAAGATCTCATTGATTTACATTACAAGCATCAGAATTTCATATAAATATCAGCATTTGCACCAAATTGCACATTTTTTAATAAAACCGAGTTGTTTTTTCCTTCATATTCTCACTATATGAGCCATAAAAGCCTGATATCAAATGTGACAACATAAAAAAAAGTGAACTTTACATGAACTCCTTTCACAATTTCAACCAAATTATCATCATTCTCAATGTTCTACACTAGGGATGCAGCGATTTGAACATTTTGGCCGATACCGATAACCGATAATTCTTTATATTTGAAAGCCGATAATTGACCGATACATTTAAATCCAAATTTTATATAATTTTTAAGAACCTGATTACAAAAACAAAAGTCTCACCATTAAAAGCCACGTCCCAAACACACAATTATAATGTTCTCATAATTTTATATAGCCGATATGACAGACTTACGCTGCACATGTTGCACTTTAACTATATAATTTCCTTTTTTAAAGTGATTCCAATCATATTTCAAGCAATTAAAAACCATCATGTTGAACAGTGCGCACCTGAAGAGTCTCAGCTGAAGGAAATAATACATTATTTATCGGCTGTAGTGTTAAAAATTTATTAAATGTTTAATTAGGTTCCAGTACAATAGTATATAAACTGACACAGTACATTGTGTTTTAGATTTTAAGGTTATGATGATGATATCACCTGTTAAGCATGAGAGTCCTGTTCTCTCTATTGTAAGTTAAATGAATCAGATTACTGAGACTCTGTCTTTAATGGCTCTGGGATCCCCTGGCTCAGTCGTTGAATAGTTAGGCTGATTGGATTATCATCAGGATATGTGAATGAGACTGTTATGCTGATGAGATCAGGACTGGGGAAATGGGCTGACTCCTGTACTTCATTTACATGCCACCACTATGTAATTAATCCCACCCAGTTGAAATGTATATAAACTACAATGTAAGATTAGACTTGACGATGATTGCCAGCAGCTCATGTTCTCAATAGAGAATCCTGCTGAAGACACAACCCGAGTCTCCTGGTCTTCGCTTCTGAGTTTCCTACACTTCCTACACAAATTTTCTTATCAGGCCGATAACGATATCATTAAAAATGAACTTTTATCGTCCGATACCGATATGGGGGCCGATATATCGTGTACAATTTAGAAAAACGCAACTCATCTGCCAAATGCATCATCTCTCAACATCCAGATCATATTTTGCTTCAAAATCAAAAGAAACAAAATAACTACACTTTTTTTTGTTCCCCTCTCTCTTTGTTTTAAATTTTAGATTGTTCGTTATATATATAGCCTAACAATAAATATATATATTATATATTTTAATATATATTTGTAGGCATTATTTGAAAATGAAACACATTATCGGCATAATTTTCAACAGCATTAAAGAATGTAATCAAAATCGAAAATTATTATTTTTTTATTAATATTGCAGTGTTTATTCTAAATTATTTATCGGTGCACATGCAGGTGAAACTCGAAAAATTTGAATATTGTGCAAAAGTTAATATATTTCAGTAATTCAACTTAAAAGGTGAAACTAATATATTATATAGACTCATTACATGCAAAGTGAGAGATTTCAAGCCTTTATTTGTTATAATTGTGATGATTATGGCTTACAGCTTATGAAAACCTTTTCACAATTTGGGGTTTTCATAAGCTGTAAGCCATAATCATCACAATTATAACAAATAAAGGCTTGAAATCTCTCACTTTGCATGTAATGAGTCTATATAATATATTAGTTTCACCTTTTAAGTTGAATTACTGAAATAAATGAACTTTTGCACCATATTCTACTTTTTCGAGTTTCACCTGTATATCATGCATCCCTATTATACACAAAACGCTTTGGAAATGTGTCGTGTTGCAATGCATTTCCTCTCGAATGTTTTCCACGTCTTTTCTCTTCTTTTCCTCCAGCTAATCTTTGGAGTGGCGTTTGGACTGACGAGACGATGGCGGCGGAGCGGCTCGTCTCCATGCTCTCGTTCGCAGGGGAAGTGCTTGTGTTCCAGTGCTCAAAACCCCGAGATCATCGCAAAGGCTCAGAAGTTTCTTTCCTCCGTCTTTCCTTCGATCAAACCCTGCAAACCTTCTCCGTTACAGATCATAGCGCACACCCGATACACAGAGAAAGCTCTTCAGAGACGCTCATCGTTCACTGCGCTTCTGCATTCGATGCGCAACTGAGACAAAAAGTGCCTTGTGTTTTACTGAGAATATGCAAGAAAAGGACATCAGCTTTTAAATACATGCTTTACTCCATCGGAGGAAAGCTTCATGTTGAGTTCGCCTTACCGTACGAGATTAGAGACCATATTTCTATATTGCAGGGTCCCACGTTGATCTGGAGTCACGAAAGCTCAGTTTTCTGGGCGTCGTCGCAGAGCGGCGGCGTTAAAGAAGTCCCGATTCCTTTTAAATCGATCAAGTTTATTGGCGAACTTCCTCTTCATAAAAGAAAACTAGTGATTCAAGGCACTACGAATGATGTGAAAAACACACTGTATTTCATCGGCGGCGACGACGAACACTGTGACGCCGCATGTTTGGTGCCGAACGCTTACGTCTCTGTGCTGCAGTGCATGCTGGTCCTCTCCGCGGAGGAAGATGGCGGATCGATCAAGTCACGTGTTCTGGCGGCCACGAGCACCAAACAACTGGTTCGCTTTGAGGACGGATTCCCGCGCGATGTGTGCGCTCTCCCGTACGAGCATCCGCTGAGCGTTCGGGCGGTTCATACGCCGAGGAACGAGCGTCTCGTCGTCGTGAGCTTCAGTCAGGGGAACGTCTGCGCCGTGTGGAACGACACTTTCCAGGTGAGCGGACGTTAAAGGGGGCGTCGGATGCCTGTTTTCCACAAGCTGGTGGGATTCTTTAGGATCTCCATGTACAGTTTGGATCAATGGTTGTGTAAAACTGACAAGTTTAACTCTTGTTTAATGTTTATCTTGACAAGTTTAACCCTTTTTACAGTATACACATGGCTAATATGGGAAATATGCTAATACGGGAAATATGCTAATGTGGGAAATATGCTAATACGGGACGGTCCGTCAGCGGTCGTGGGCGGAGCATGAGCAATATGACATCATACTTTCCAGGTGAGGGTTTATTTGGGATTTCGAAGTGTTAAATTCAGCATTAAACATCGTCTTTAATTATCTATTGGTCCGTATATCCGAGTGAAACGCTTCTGGAACAAGAAGAGATGTGGGCGGGGCTTGATTGTGTCTGTGGGGAATTGATTGGATGGTTGTGGTTTGCTATTGGTGGATCTCGTGTGATTGACAGGTTATAGCCCCGCCCTCGTTATCAGAGAAGAGACGCTTATAGCTTGTATATTTTTGCAAAATTTGTATTTTTTTTTATAAGAAAAAATACAAAACAAATTAATTTTTAAATGAAACGTTTTTTTATATTTACAGGAACTAGAATTAACAATTAAAATAATAAAATAATTAATATTACAGGATAAGGTACTTAAAATAGTTTTTTAACCTTATTAAGATTATACAATACTAAACAAAAATAATATTATTTCTGGTAACTGGGAATGTAATGGTTTATTATTAGTATTACTATTATTATTAAATAATATTTTTATACTTGAAGGTACACAATACTTTATTTTATTTCATTTTAATTTAATTTACTTTATTTATTTATTTATTTATCTGTTATTTTTATTTAGTTTTTTATGTCTATTTATTGTATTATTATTAATTTATTTGGTTATTTTTTGTCGTTTCTATTTTTATTTAGTTTTTTATTTATAACTCTGTTTTTTTTTGTTTTTTTTAGTATCAGCCAATATCAGAAATATTTAGGTTTTTTTTTATTTATTTTTTTTATGGCTTTTTCAGGTCTAGAAATCACACTTTTGAAATCCCCTCATGCATTGTCTAGGTTTTCTAAAACCCTGGAACATAAAATAAAACACCAAAATAAAAATGTCAGTCGTTAGATAAAGGAGCATGATGTAATCTCGATTCTTGGCTGGTTTAGCTTTTTTTTTGTCTCATTTTAAATCATTAAGTCATGTTTTGCCCAAAACAGTCTCCCAAGATGCAGCTGGTGACCTGGACTTCAGTTTCAGCGCCGCTTCATAAGAGCTTCGCCCTGTTTCATAAACGATAAGCATAAGCAGACTGCGGTTCTTTGAGAGCTTGTCCTGTCAATCACAGCACAGGAGTTTACCGTACAGGATTTACTATTAAAACCTGCATTTAAAGGTTAGCGTTTCCACCGGAACATTTCAAAGCAGCAGAAAATGTCAGATTATTTATTATCTGTCTCGATGCATCAAATATGCATGCTAATATTAGTATATATGATTATATTATATATTCGTATGCTAATCCAGGAGCTCTTTCACTTGATGAGCAGAAGAGACTTCTTTTAAAAACATTAAAAATCTTGCCGATCCAAAAGTTTTGACTGGTTGTGTGTGTGTGTGGGTGTGTGTGTGTGGGTGTGGGTGTGTGTGTGTGGGTGTGTGGGTACATATAAAGTGCTACTTCAATATGTTAATTAAGCCTCATTCTTTCTGCTATTTCAGTTTCTTGAAGTGTGTTCTGTGTGTGTGTGTCAGGTGGCGTGGTGTGTGACAGGAGTGTGTTCTCTGTGTGTGTCAGGTGGCGTGGTGTGTGACAGGAGTGTGTTCTCTGTGTGTGAGGTGGCATGGTGTGTGACAGGAGTGTGTTCTCTGTGTGTGTCAGGTGGCGTGGTGTGTGACAGGAGTGTGTTCTCTGTGTGTCAGGTGGCGTGGTGTGTGACAGGAGTGTGTTCTCTGTGTGTGTCAGGTGGCGTGGTGTGTGACAGGAGTGTGTTCTCTGTGTGTGTCAGGTGGCGTGGTGTGTGACAGGAGTGTGTTCTCTGTGTGTGTCAGGTGGCGTGGTGTGTGACAGGAGTGTGTTCTCGTCAGGTGGCGTGGTGTGTGACAGGAGTGTGTTCTCTGTGTGTGTCAGGTGGCGTGGTGTGTGACAGGAGTGTGTTCTCTGTGTGTGTCAGGTGGCGTGGTGTGTGACAGGAGTGTGTTCTCTGTGTGTGTCAGGTGGCGTGGTGTGTGACAGGAGTGTGTTCTCTGTGTGTGTCAGGTGGCGTGGTGTGTGACAGGAGTGTGTTCTCTGTGTGTGTCAGGTGGCGTGGTGTGTGACAGGAGTGTGTTCTCTGTGTGTGTCAGGTGGCGTGGTGTGTGACAGGAGTGTGTTCTCTGTGTGTGTGTCAGGTGGCGTGGTGTGTGACAGGAGTGTGTTCTCTGTGTGTCAGGTGGCGTGGTGTGTGACAGGAGTGTGTTCTCTGTGTGTCAGGTGGCGTGGTGTGTGACAGGAGTGTGTTCTCTGTGTGTCAGGTGGCGTGGTGTGTGACAGGAGTGTGTTCTCTGTGTGTCAGGTGGCGTGGTGTGTGACAGGAGTGTGTTCTCTGTGTGTGTCAGGTGGCGTGGTGTGTGACAGGAGTGTGTTCTCTGTGTGTGTCAGGTGGCGTGGTGTGTGACATTAGTGTGTTCTCTGTGTGTGTCAGGTGGCGTGGTGTGTGACAGGAGTGTGTTCTCTGTGTGTGTCAGGTGGCGTGGTGTGTGACAGGAGTGTGTTCTCTGTGTGTGTCAGGTGGCGTGGTGTGTGACAGGAGTGTGTTCTCTGTGTGTGTCAGGTGGCGTGGTGTGTGACAGGAGTGTGTTCTCTGTGTGTGTCAGGTGGCGTGGTGTGTGACATTAGTGTGTTCTCTGTGTGTGTCAGGTGGCGTGGTGTGTGACAGGAGTGTGTTCTCTGTGTGTGTCAGGTGGCGTGGTGTGTGACAGGAGTGTGTTCTCTGTGTGTCAGGTGGCGTGGTGTGTGACAGGAGTGTGTTCTCTCTGTGTGTGTCAGGTGGCGTGGTGTGTGACAGGAGTGTGTTCTCTGTGTGTGTCAGGTGGCGTGGTGTGTGACAGGAGTGTGTTCTCTGTGTGTGTCAGGTGGCGTGGTGTGTGACAGGAGTGTGTTCTCTGTGTGTGTCAGGTGGCGTGGTGTGTGACAGGAGTGTGTTCTCTGTGTGTCAGGTGGCGTGGTGTGTGACAGGAGTGTGTTCTCTCTGTGTGTGTCAGGTGGCGTGGTGTGTGACAGGAGTGTGTTCTCTGTGTGTGTCAGGTGGCGTGGTGTGTGACAGGAGTGTGTTCTCTGTGTGTGTCAGGTGGCGTGGTGTGTGACAGGAGTGTGTTCTCTGTGTGTGTCAGGTGGCGTGGTGTGTGACAGGAGTGTGTTCTCTGTGTGTGTCAGGTGGCGTGGTGTGTGACAGGAGTGTGTTCTCTGTGTGTGTCAGGTGGCGTGGTGTGTGACAGGAGTGTGTTCTCTGTGTGTCAGGTGGCGTGGTGTGTGACAGGAGTGTGTTCTCTGTGTGTCAGGTGGCGTGGTGTGTGACAGGAGTGTGTTCTCTGTGTGTGTCAGGTGGCGTGGTGTGTGACAGGAGTGTGTTCTCTGTGTGTGTCAGGTGGCGTGGTGTGTGACAGGAGTGTGTTCTCTGTGTGTGTCAGGTGGCGTGGTGTGTGACAGGAGTGTGTTCTCTGTGTGTGTCAGGTGGCGTGGTGTGTGACAGGAGTGTGTTCTCTGTGTGTGTCAGGTGGCGTGGTGTGTGACAGGAGTGTGTTCTCTGTGTGTCAGGTGGCGTGGTGTGTGACAGGAGTGTGTTCTCTCTGTGTGTGTCAGGTGGCGTGGTGTGTGACAGGAGTGTGTTCTCTGTGTGTCAGGTGGCGTGGTGTGTGACAGGAGTGTGTTCTCTGTGTGTGTCAGGTGGCGTGGTGTGTGACAGGAGTGTGTTCTCTGTGTGTGTCAGGTGGCGTGGTGTGTGACAGGAGTGTGTTCTCTGTGTGTCAGGTGGCGTGGTGTGTGACAGGAGTGTGTTCTCTGTGTGTCAGGTGGCGTGGTGTGTGACAGGAGTGTGTTCTCTGTGTGTGTCAGGTGGCGTGGTGTGTGACAGGAGTGTGTTCTCTGTGTGTCAGGTGGCGTGGTGTGTGACAGGAGTGTGTTCTCTGTGTGTCAGGTGGCGTGGTGTGTGACAGGAGTGTGTTCTCTGTGTGTCAGGTGGCGTGGTGTGTGACAGGAGTGTGTTCTCTGTGTGTCAGGTGGCGTGGTGTGTGACAGGAGTGTGTTCTCTGTGTGTCAGGTGGCGTGGTGTGTGACAGGAGTGTGTTCTCTGTGTGTGTCAGGTGGCGTGGTGTGTGACAGGAGTGTGTTCTCTGTGTGTCAGGTGGCGTTGTGTGTGACAGGAGTGTGTTCTCTGTGTGTCAGGTGGCGTGGTGTGTGACAGGAGTGTGTTCTCTGTGTGTGTCAGGTGGCGTGGTGTGTGACAGGAGTGTGTTCTCTGTGTGTCAGGTGGCGTGGTGTGTGACAGGAGTGTGTTCTCTGTGTGTGTCAGGTGGCGTGGTGTGTGACAGGAGTGTGTTCTCTGTGTGTGTCAGGTGGCGTGGTGTGTGACAGGAGTGTGTTCTCTGTGTGTGTCAGGTGGCGTGGTGTGTGACAGGAGTGTGTTCTCTGTGTGTGTCAGGTGGCGTGGTGTGTGACAGGAGTGTGTTCTCTGTGTGTGTCAGGTGGCGTGGTGTGTGACAGGAGTGTGTTCTCTGTGTGTGTCAGGTGGCGTGGTGTGTGACAGGAGTGTGTTCTCTGTGTGTCAGGTGGCGTGGTGTGTGACAGGAGTGTGTTCTCTGTGTGTCAGGTGGCGTGGTGTGTGACAGGAGTGTGTTCTCTGTGTGTCAGGTGGCGTGGTGTGTGACAGGAGTGTGTTCTCTGTGTGTCAGGTGGCGTGGTGTGTGACAGGAGTGTGTTCTCTGTGTGTCAGGTGGCGTGGTGTGTGACAGGAGTGTGTTCTCTGTGTGTGTCAGGTGGCGTGGTGTGTGACAGGAGTGTGTTCTCTGTGTGTCAGGTGGCGTGGTGTGTGACAGGAGTGTGTTCTCTGTGTGTCAGGTGGCGTGGTGTGTGACAGGAGTGTGTTCTCTGTGTGTGTCAGGTGGCGTGGTGTGTGACAGGAGTGTGTTCTCTGTGTGTCAGGTGGCGTGGTGTGTGACAGGAGTGTGTTCTCTGTGTGTGTCAGGTGGCGTGGTGTGTGACAGGAGTGTGTTCTCTGTGTGTGTCAGGTGGCGTGGTGTGTGACAGGAGTGTGTCTGCTGCTCGTCGACGACTTCATGAGAGTCGGGTCGGATCAGATGCTGCTCGTGTTCGAGGACCAGGACTCTCCCGGAGATCTGCTCAGAAACTTCATGCTCACCGATCTGTGCGGCGTCACGTATTCTGTGCGTCAACGGGTTCATTCTTAAGCTTTTGCTTCATAACACAACATTTATATTCCACATCCCACTTGTTTAGCCTGTGTAGAGTTTGATCGAATGCTCCGACATTTCTTAAAGTCCCCCTGTAGTCAATCATTTTATCCCTTAAAACTCATCTTTGATCGCCTTAATTACATATTTAAACGTTTTTTTTCGTCATGCCTTAAAATATCTTGAATGTAACTCGACACCTCGCCTCATTTAGTATGCGCGGTTCTATGAATATGCAAATGAGCCCCGCCTCCACTCACTCACTCAGCTCAGAGATCCACTGGTTGACGATCACACGTTGATCTGATTGGTTACAAGGTCGTTTGTGACGTCAGAAACACCAGCGATTTCAAACCGTGTTTTTGAGACTGTCTTTGGTTCACTGCAGTTTTAAGGAGGAAATACTCAGCAATGCTGTCGACTTATGAACTTACACATGGTGTGTCTTAAAGCAGATTAAAAACACCACATAGACACATAAACAACATTAAACGCTGGATTCTCACCACAGGGGGACTTTAAGTGTATTTATCATTTGCAATCATGATAAACAAGTACTAACATTCAAAAACAGTTCCATGAACGATGTATAAATATCGTTTTAACATGAGAACATTATTAAAGACCAGAAAACTGAAGGAACATTCTAATAATTTTACTGGAAGAATGTTTGTTCATAACTTTGAGAAAACCTTGACAGAACATGAATCAGAATGTGTTATTAAACGGCTGTTCATATAAATCATACGTAAACAAACACAAAAACAGGCAATTATGAGACTTTCTGACTCATATTGTGTCAATTAACAATGTGATAAAGTACAAGAAACTGACATTTAATGAATTTGCTGTGTTCAAGCTGTGAGTGCTTTGCAGTGTGGACGCTCAGACGGGGCCGTCCTGAACACATCCGACTCCGTGCCGGAGAACTTTCTTCTCACCGTTCAAGCGCTAGAGTCCAGACTGCAGGTAATTCAACTCTACTGATATTTGGGGGCTTTAAGCACATAAATAGGTGATTTCGTGCAAATTCATCAAAAAGCGGCAAATTTGGCACAGATGTAGCTCACATCATACTGAAATGATTTAGCTAGGGCGCCGGAGCCAGCAACCCTCGGGGCCAAGATGGCGGCCAAATCCAATATGGCCGCTGTCCGAAAAAGCGTTTTGGATTCAATCTTACCAGTCTTCTTGATATACCCAATCAAAAATGTAAGAATTCCTATGGGTTTCCCATGGTCAAAAAAGGTAAAATAGACATTAAGTTTGTATTTGTATCTCATCTGGCTCAAAAGCTATAGCCAAATCCCTTTCAGGCGGTGGCCATATTGGATTAAATTGGATCCAATATGGCCGCCATCTTGGTCTCAGGGACCATTGGCTCGGGCGCCCTGGCTAAATAATTTCAGTATGCCCTCTGCTACATCTGTGCCAAATTTGGTGTTTGTAGATCAGGGTATCCGCGGGTCCTTAAAAAGTCTTAAATTAGATTTAAAAAATGTATGGCCTTAAAAAGTCTTAAAGTCTTATTTTGACTTATGAAAGGTCTTAAATTTTCAATGGCAATTTGAGTTAGACATATCTAAATGTTTTCCAAATTAAAACTATCTAATCAGCGTACTTTTTTATTTACTATTCGTTCTTTGTGGATTTGCTCGTTCACGTGACATTTCGCGTCACATTCGCGCCAGCATTACGTCTGTCTCCTGCACGCGAAACAGCAGGAGAGGAGAAGAAAGCTGGTTAATTTCAGTTCTATTGTAAGTTCATTCTTTATGTGCGTAGTGGTGTGCGATGTGTATTGTCTATTATGATATTGTAATCATTGTTTTACTTTAACGTTAACTATGTACGAGGGCGCACTGCGAGCTGACATCGCATTTGTCTCTCATGCTTGCTTTCACTGCGTGATGTGTCAGTGCAGTTATAGGTATGTTCCCTAATAGACGTATAAAGTTTTTGTATTTTATATATCATATGTTGTTATCATACAATATTACATCAGCAAGAGGGCTGTTTTCCCGTGCACAATAGCAAATATGATATTTATTTTATATAACAGTTAAATTAACATTGTTACATTTTATAAACAATATTGTCAATATTGTTTGTTTTCCCTTTATTTCGCTGACGAGAATTTCAAAATGAAACCGTAGCAGAGTCTCAATGCAAAAGACAGCGATGATTTCTTGACTGAAATCCGCGTTTTGAACGAATCATTTTAACGATTCAATGAACAATGACTTGCAGTTCCTGAATGAATCAGCCGTTTGAACAAATCGTTTGAATGAATGACTCCGAGACAGTGACTTGCCGCCACCTACTGGCGTGTTTAGTTTCACATTTAAAGTACCCTGTAATTAAAATGTTACAATTAGAAATCAGTTCATATTTAAATATTGAATTAAGAATTGAAAGAATTGAATATATCATAGCTTTATTTATGCAATTGTAAATGCAGTATAAATATATTAATGCCAGTTCTGATGCTGCTTCTGTGTCTCCTCTGCACTGCAAAGATGGATTTTGATTTAATGATTTAATATAACTGGTAACAGTGGTATTGTGTTATTATTCTAATATAATTTAATTTGAATGTTAGAATTTGACATAAAAGGTGATGCATACCTCTAAGTAAAAAAAAAAAAAAAAAAGTCCATATATGGGTGAAAATGCCCCTGGAACTCAATTTAAGGTTGCAAATATTGCCCTTTAATAAAAAAATGTTAATTCCTTTCACTGCTGTGAACTGACCACTGCATAGAATATGAAAAATATGAATATCTTCGTGAGTCAGCTGTCAACAACAGGCCTAAACCAGCCATGGTACCAGTACACAAACACAATCAGTAAAATATCATCTAATTATCATCAACAAAACTTTGAAAATATTGAGACATTTTTTTTTCAATATTGCGCACCCCTAATGTAAGGTATTAATTTTGATTTCTTCAGGTCTTAAAAAGGTCTTAAAAAGCCTTAAATTTGACTTTAAAAAGTGTGCAGATACCCTGTAGATGAATTTGCGCAAACAATGGGGTGTAAGGCCCCATACTACAGCCCAAACTGCTTTTTTGGACAGTGGCCATATTGGAATTGGAGGATCAAGGGGTCCAGATATACTGGGTCATAAATATAAACATTCCTATGTGTTTCCCATGATCAACTAAGCTGAAAAACATATCAAGTTTGTATTTGTAACTCATGTGGTTCAAAAGTTATAGCCGGAACCCTTTTCGGGCAGCGGCCATATTGGATTTGGCCGCCATCTTGGCACCGAGGGTCGCTGGCTCCGGCGCCCTAGCTAAATCATTTCAGTATGATGTGAGCTACATCTGTGCCAAATTTGGCGCTTTTAGATGAATTTGCGCGAAAATGTGCTTAAGGCCCCCCACTATGACGCAATAAAGCTTCAGCGGCGGTCAGCATACAACTCTAGGGTTCTAGACTCGCTTTTAGAGAACCCTCTCTATACAAGGGTACATGTTTCTAGGGATAAAGCTGTTTAATTCATAAAATAAAACCAAATTAATTGAAACTAAATCCATAAAATGCTGGGAACCTTTTCTTATAGACTCTTAATGAGTTTACTTTCTTCTAAAATGGAGATATTATAAGAATTGTTCAAGCAAAGATGAAAAACTCTTGCTGTTATTTCACATAAGTGTGTCCATAACACAAGTGTTATATTAGTATCATAGTTTTTATTAATAGTTGTGGTAACACTTTACAATAAAGTTGGATTAGTAAACATGAAATACGAATGATCAGTACTTCTACAGCATTTATTAATCTTAATGTTAATTTAAACATTTACCTGTTATTAGTTAATGCACTGTGAGCTAATGTGAACATGACCATTTCATTATATAACATTAACACAGGTTAATAAACGCTGTAAAAATATGTTGATCATTGTTAGTTAATGCATTAACTAATGTTAACAAATGAGAACGTATTGTAAAATTACCATAGTTTTAATTTTTTTTTAAATCAATTTTATTTTTGTTAAAGTTTTAGTAATTTTGTTGTGTTTTTGCCATTTTATTAGGTTTAGTTTTTTAATGTCTATAGTGTTAGTAATTTTTATTTTAGTAATTTTAGTACATTGAGTTAAACTAAATGAAAATGGAAAAAAAATTAAATGGCAACTAGCTAGTTCTTTTTTTTCCCTATATTTTATTTTATCTCAGTTAAAGCTTATTATAATTTTTTTATTCAACTATAATAACCCTGTCCAAAAGCTCCAAAAAGTACACAGTAATTAAAATGCATATCTCAATTTTTAAAAACTAAATAAAATTACATTTTAAAATTTGTTTTTTGACGAACAAATTGTGTCTTTTCACAATTTGTTTCGCAATATAGTGCACACATCATATGCACTTTTGGTGCTTTTTCTCCATTGCCTCAATAATAAGTGCATTACTGTAAATGCATTTTAATTTGTTTTCAGATATGCATTGAGATATTCCTCTGAAATGTCTTCCTCTCTGCTGCTGTTATTGGTTTGTTCTGACTTTAGAGCGGCATGAACTTCCTTGAAGACCTTCAGAGAGACGTGGAGGTCAAAGACAGACTCATACTACAGTCATTAGTGGCCTTGACTGACCTGGTATCCGGAAGAGAACATGTGATATTCCCTCCAGAACAGGTTCTTCAATTTTCATAGTAATATCAAATAAAAATAGATTAAAGAAGACTTATTATAAAGTGTTTTCAGGCTCTACTAGAACAGGTTTTCCTGCTTGAATGTTGATTATTCTCCTCATATTCTCCATTGTTGCGGCTCCTCTCTTCCCAGTCTGTCAGGAACGCTCTGTTTACTTCCTGTCTCTATGAAGCCCCTCCTCCTGAACAGCACACTGTGCTCTGATTGGTCGGCTGGAGCAGTGTGTTGTGATTGGTCGAGCGCTTCGAGTGTGTTTGGGAAATGTCCCACCCCTTTCCATAACCGCCAGTTTAACACACTACTAACTAACTCAACCAGGCCCCGCCCCTTTATTCTGCGCATTAATTATTATAATGAGGAATATTGTGACGTGTTCGTTCCCGGAAGAAACTCAAGATACAATGGAGGCGTTTCAGGAGTTCAGAAACACTGACACTCATATAGAGGAGAACTCACTTTTCAAGCTCAATCAGCAACATTACACACTAAAGAAAGATGAACATGGGAAAAGCAGAATATGTGCTTTTTAAAAAGTGCTGAAATTTAAAGTCAACGCTTGAACACACTTTTTAGATCCGGTTTGTCTGTATCTGTGCCGTAGGAAGGGCTTGTTTCTCTGTGGGATGATGATGCTGGCGATGAAGAACCTGATGTCTTGGATGATGGGATGGACACTGAATGTGCTGAAGCTCTTCTGGAAGTGGACAGAGTTTGGCAGAGAGTCGTTGGACAGAGTTTGATCGTCGGTGTCGTTCTGAAACCCACGAATAACACGTATGTCTCTCCTGTAACACTGCTCGTGAGATTTAAGTCTTTAGAAATCAATCCTAAGATTAATAATCAAGGCGTTTTCTAAAATTATTTTCACTAAAGGATGAATCAGATTTAATCTTTTTTTTATTTACACTACAGTATAAAAGTTTGGGGTCGGTAAGATTTTTTTTACTGTTTTTGAAAGTCTCTTCATCTCAACAAGGCTAAATTTATTTGATCAAAAATAAAGTAAAAATGGTGAAATATTATTCCAGTGTAAATCAGCTGTTTTCTATGTAAATATATAGTAAAGTGTAATTTATTCCTGTGATCAAAGCAGAATTTATTTGATTAAAAATACAGTAAAAATTGTGAAATATTATTCCAATGTAAAACAGCTGTTTTCTAAGTGAATACATAGTAAAGTGTAATTTATTCCTTTGATCAAAGCTGAATTTATTTGATTAAAAATACAGTAAAAATTTTGACATTTTATTCCGATGTAAAACAGCTGTTTTCTATGTGAATATATAGTCAAGTATAATTTATTCCTGTGATCAAAGCTGAATTTATTTGATCAAAAATACAGTAAAAATTGTGAACTATTATTCGTGTAAATCAGCTTTTTTCTATGTGAATATATAGTAAGGTGTAATTTATTCCTGTGATCAAAGCTGAATTTATTTGATCAAAAATACAGTAAAAATTGTGAAATATTATTCCAATGTAAATCAGCTGTTTTCTATGTAAATATATAGTCAAGTGTAATTTATTCCTGTGATCAAAGCAGAATTTATTTGATTAAAAATACAGTAAAAATTGAAATATTATTCGTGTAAATCAGCTTTTTTCTATGTGAATATATAGTAAGGTGTGATTTATTCCTGTGATCAAAGCTGAATTTATTTGATCAAAAATACAGTAAAAATTGTGAAATATTATTCCAATGTAAATCAGCTGTTTTCTATGTAAATATATAGTCAAGTGTAATTTATTCCTGTGATCAAAGCAGAATTTATTCGATTAAAAATACAGTAAAAATTGTGAAATATTATTCCAATGTAAATCAGCTGTTTTCTATGTAAATATATAGTCAAGTGTAATTTATTCCTGTGATCAAAGCAGAATTTATTCGATTAAAAATACAGTAAAAATTGTGAAATATTATTCCAATGTAAATTAGCTGTTTTCTATGTGAATATATTAGGGGTGTAACGATATTTGAACCGAACCGAAAAACCGCGATACACCACCCACGATACGTATCGCGATACTCTCATGGCGAACCGAACACGCCCCGCCCCCTGCGGCCCCGCCCAGCCCCGGCTCATTGCACCTCATGTGTTATGTGTACACAACCAATACAGGGCTGTTGCCTAACCACCATTAACCACATATAATCGCAATAAGCTCAGTGTTTTGTTACTTTTGATAATAAGCAAGGTGTAATCTTTCAAATTATGTCTATTTGATCACGAAATGTAAACAATAAATGCCGTTTTGGCGCTCTTAGATGTGGCGTGACAGATTTCACTGTATGCATGTGGCAGCGCGGAGCGCGATCATCTCTTCCTCAGTTACAGAATAAACATGAATGGACACCCGAAGGTATGTTGAAAGATACAGTATACTTACTGAAAGGCATCATAACTCGTGTAAACACTCAATCAGTGTTTCAACAGCGGAAATACGTCAATAAAACGCTTAGTTTTTCACATAGCTTTATATTTACCTCAGGCAAGTCATTCAGTGTACACAGCTTGCTGGTTTGCTAACTCTTTCACTAAATAAATGCTATATATTAGCCTATATATTATATTTTACTTAACCTGTTTATGATATCTTGATTATTTAATGTATGTTTAAAATAGTTGTCATGAAAATAACAGCAACTGTGTAAATTATTATACAACAATAACAAATTAGAGTAAAAACATGTTAATGCAAAAATTGCCTTATGTGCAGTTTACATGTTTTCATACAATTTGTTATTTGAGTGTTGATTATTATTATATCATTTAGGCTAAAAGTCTAGGCTTGTTAAGCTTTAATGTTATAGTAATGTGCAAGTAAGGGCTGTAGTTTACAGCATTAGCAGATAATTTTGTTATCCTTAAGAAACGTTTACTTGTAATTTAATTGATTTAAAGACAAGGACACAATTTGTTCATTAAAGCACTGTTTAATAAAAAATAAAAGCAATTTTAGCTTTCTAAACCCCCCCACCCCACCGAAATGAACCGAACCGAACCGAGACCTCAAAACCGTGGGACGAACCGAACCGTCAGGTTTGTGTATCGTTACACCCCTAGAATATATAGTAAAGTGTAATTTATTCCTGTGATCAAAGCTGAATTTATTTGATCAAAAATACAGTAAAAATTGTGAAATATTATTCCAATGTAAATCAGCTGTTCTGTTTCATTCTTACTGACCGCCAGAGGCAGTGTAAACACTATGGATTATCGCAGCGCCAGCTAGATAGGTCGAGAGAATATACCAACAAAGTCACGTGGCGTGACGTATGCTGAGCCCTGGAGGGTAAAGCTACAGTAGCTCAGCACTCTACCCTCTTTCGCTTTCTCGCCTAGTTGAGATAGGTTGTATTGGTTGAGTGACGCGCTGTCAAGTGCAGCTTACAAGAGCAGCGAGATTCGTCCTCACAAGCTGTGACAGCGCGTGTCTACGCTCTTTCAAGGATTTGGATTTTTTCAAGGATTTGGATTTAAATTAACGGCACTTGGTGAGTTTTGTTTTTTCATATTGCTTCGTCGGTAACACTCTGTGCCTCGGTGCAATCCGGTGGCTTGTGTTTGCCGCGCTATGAGTTAACGGTCTCCCGTTGACATAAGTTATCTAACGTTACTTAGAGTGTTTTTTCCTCGTATCCATGTAACACTTTTTGTCCCTCGGTTCAATCCGCCGGCCATTTTAGACACCTCTTATCTTTTTTCATAAAATTTTTGTTGGTATTACCTGTCGGTTCACCCGAGGTAATCGTTTTATTTTATTTTTATTATTTTTTCATCCCGCTTAACTTAACCTTACGGTACTATCCGAGGGTGTTATTAGCGAGTAACTATGGCTCACAGCTCGATAGCCACTGGTTTTCCACTGACTTGTAAGCTGTGCCCTAATAATCTTCTCCCTGACGACGGTCATGACATCTGCCCGTCGTGTTTGGGTGTTCAACATCTGCGAGAGGCTCTCACGGACCCGTGCATGCACTGCAGCCTTTTGCCTATGTCGGAACGACGGCTCCGTCTTGCCGAGTTAGACCCTAATTCTACAGTGAAACTAGGGCAGTTAGATGTAGCCCCTTCGCGCACTCGGAAGCGCAGGGCGTCGGCGGCAGCTGGTGCTCCCCTCCCAGCTAAGAAGGCCAAATCGCGAGATGATGAACATTCACATGTTGAGAAAGGTTCACTTTCTATGACGGTGTCGGTGCTTTCTTCAGAGATGGCAGAGCTGAAACGCCTGCTTCACTCACTTCAGCCGGTCACATCTGCTACACCTGTGAGGATGACACAGGAGGATGAGAATGTTCAAAACCAGGGAGCTGGGGAAGAGTCTCTTGATTCCCCTTGTTTTTCTCATCGTTCAGAGTTTGATGTGCTTTCTACAAGTGCTTCAGATTCCTTTTTTCACGATCATGGGGATCCTATGGATGTTGCTACACAACCATCACCTCAGGCTGTTTTCACTGGTTACCCAGCAGCAGAGGGCTCTAGTGGGGGGTCAGTTCAGTCGTCTGGACAAGCCCAGTCCTCCTCCGATGACACTTTGGCTGTGCTTCGAATGGCAGCTGCTCGTCTAGGACTTGATGAGTCACCTGTCCAATCTGCACAAACTAATGTGTTTTTCAGACAGACCACAGCTGCAACTTCTTTTGCCATGCCACCATGTAAGGATTTTGTGGCTGAATTCTCAAATGCTCTCACTGGTTCTGGTCCACCTAAGCGGCGCTCAAAGATTGCTCGAACGCTAGCATCTATGGCTGAAGCAGATTCTATCGGGGTGGGTCGTGCTCCGGAAATAAAGCAGCCTGTGGCAGCTTTGGTGGTCTCTCCTGATGAGGCTCTACGAGGGAATGTGCGATGCCCCAGTGCTCAATGCGGTCGTACGGATTCCTTGCTAAAAAAGGCATTCGAGTCTGTTGCCTACATTACTCGAGCAGAAAACACGATCTGCCAGTCACTTCTTGCTGCCACCAGTACGCTGGAACCTGCAAATGCAGATCCCTCTATTTTACAATTTCTGCAAACTGCTCTGTTGGCGACAGGCCATGTGACCCGCGAGCTGGGTAGTCTTACAGCCACGCTTCTGGCAGCCCGCCGCCAAGTGTGGCTTGCCCAAGCACGACTGCCGGAGGACTGTAAGAAAACCTTGAGAGATCTTCCTTTTGTTCCCGGGCATATCTTTGGTCCAAATGTTCCGGAACTGTTGGAAAAGCGGGTAAAGCTGTCTGAAGCCACTCGTCAGCTGACACAGGTGCAGCGCAACCCTACCTTTAGGATGCCAGCGGTTCAGACCCGACATCACTATGCCGCATCGGAGCAGCGTTTCCGCCGGCACGCTACACCTCAGTCACAGCCCCCTCAAAGACCTCGTGTTCCTGAAGATGCGAGAGTTTTTCGCCCACCTCATCGACAGTTTCCGGGAGGGCCCCGTCAGCGTCCCCCCGCGACCACTAAAAATCGCACACGTAAAGCCTGAGACAGTCAGGCCGGCGGTCGATCGTTTTTCTGTAGAGCAACTGGAGTACTGGAGATCCAACACAGCAGACCCCTGGGTGTTGGCGACTCTGAGCAGGGGATATACTCTACAGTTTCGGCGCCGCCCTCCCAGATTTTCAAGAATTGTTCCTACGATTGTCAGAGACGCGGTTCGCGCAGTGGCTCTCTCTCTGGAAATCTGTTCACTGTTAGAGAAGGGAGCCATAGAAAAGGTTCATCCCCTCGTTCAGAGAGACGGGTTCTATTCAACTTATTTTCTTGTTCCAAAGAAGGACGGTGGTTTCCGCCCAATTCTCGATTTAAGGCTTCTGAATTTGTTCCTGAAGGTCCTTCCCTTCCGAATGCTGCGCACAGCCGATGTTCTCCAGTCTGTGACAGCAGACGATTGGTTTGTAAGTGTCGATCTGAAAGATGCATACTTTCACGTCCCAATTGCTGTACATCACAGAAAGTTTCTACGTTTCAGTTTCCTGAATCAAGCATACCAGTTCAAAGTGCTACCCTTCGGCCTTTCCCTTGCTCCTCGCGTCTTCACAAGGTGTGTGAGCGCAGCTCTGTCTCCTCTTTGGATGAGAGGTATCCGTATTCTTCCTTATTTGGACGACTGGCTTCTCTGTGCCCCCACAGAGCAGCAGGCCGTACAAGACTCCAGACTGCTCTTGAGACATGTGCAGAAGCTGGGGTTTTCTGTGAACAAGAAAAAGAGCCGTTTGATTCCATCACAGACCACTACGTTCATAGGAATGACCCTGAATTCCTGCCTAATGTCTGCCTCCCTATCTCAGGAACGTGTGACAAACATTCTACAACTTTTGGCTCGCTTTCGTCCGGGTGTGTCTTTGCAGTACGAGGTGGTCCTACGACTGATAGGGATGTTAACAGCGGCTACAGTTGTGATCCCCCTGGGTTTACTCCATCTCAGACCACTCCAGTTATGGAACAACAGTTTGCGGCTAGATCCCACCAGACATCGTCATCAACTGGTTATAATTTCTCACCGTTGCATATGTGCGTTGAGGCGGTGGAGACAGTTAGAGTTTCTGAAGGCAGGAGTGCCCCTGGGTGTTGTTCCCTCTCGTCGGGAGTTGGTCACGACAGACGCTTCCCTCACAGGATGGGGGGCAACGTGGAATCGGAGGGGTATTTCCGGGCGCTGGACTCCGATCCAGGCCGCGGAACATATCAACCTGCTAGAACTCAGGGCAGTGTTCTTGGCTCTAAAGTACTTCATGCCGGTTCTGGCAGGCCGCCATGTTCTTGTTCGGTCAGACAATACCTCAACAGTGTTCCATCTGAACCACCAGGGCGGCACGAGATCCCGCAGGTCTCTATGGTTGACTCACGAGATCCTGACATGGTGTCAGCCACGACTCGCTTCACTGAGGGCAGCTCATATTCCAGGAGTGTGCAACCAGACAGCAGATGCTCTTTCCAGGGATCAAGTACATCCAGGAGAATGGAGGCTTCATCCAGATGTAGTGCAGGAGATCTGGCTACGATTTGGAAGAGCAGAGGTGGATCTTTTTGCTTCAGAGATGACCACCCACTGTCGCTTATGGTTCGCAAGGACAGAAGTGTCGAGCCCCCTGGGCCAGGATGCGCTGTCTCACGAATGGCCGAACTGCCTGCTTTATGCGTTTCCACCTACCCCTCTGTTATGGGAGACGTTGCACAGGATCTCCCTGTGCAAGCACAGAGTGTTACTCGTGGCACCACGATGGCCAGCCAGACCGTGGTTTCCTTTGTTGCTGAGACTTCTGACAGGCAATCCATGGAAGCTTCCCCCCAGGAAGGACCTCCTCTCCCAGTTGGAGGCCAGTGTCTGGCACCCGGACCTGGCTCGTCTGCAGCTTTGGGTCTGGCCATTGGGTTAAATCCTTACCTGGAGCATTGTGACCCTGCTGTTATTCACACAATCTCTAATGCTAGGGCTTCTTCCACACGACAGATTTATGCTTCCCGTTGGAAGCTTTTTTCTGCATGGTGTAAGGAACGGGGGCTCGATCCTGCAACATGCGACATTCCGCGTGTCTTAAGTTTTCTTCAACGTTTACTGGAGGAAGGAAAAGCAGCTTCCACGTTGAAAGTGTACGTTGCTGCAATTTCTGCATATCATGTTCCAGTTGGTGGCTCTTCTCTTGGCTCTCACCGTCTTGTCTGCAGTTTTCTGAAGGGCGCACGCCGTCTGAACCCTGCTCGGAATCCTCATTTTCCTGTGTGGGATTTGTCACTCGTACTTGCATTCCTGTGCTCACCCCAGTTTGAGCCCTTGCAAAATGTTGACATTAAATGGTTGTCCTTGAATACTTCTTTTTTGTTAGCTATTGCTACTGCGAAACGAGTCAGTGAGTTGCACGCGTTGTCTGTTAGTGAACTGTGCTTGCGTTGGTTACCGGATGGCTCCGGGGTGGTTCCCAATCCTTCTTTTCTTCCGAAGGTCCTTCTTCCTCAGTTCATAAATCAGCATATTGAACTGGCCTCCTTTCAGACTTCTTCAGGGTCCGATTCAAGTGCCCAACTCTTGTGTCCTGTTCGGGCCTTGAAGTGTTATGTGAACTCTACTGTTCAATTTAGACGGTCAGACCAGTTATTTGTCTGCCATGGTGGTGTGAAGAAAGGTGCTCCAGTGTCGAAACAGAGGTTGTCGAACTGGATAGTGGAGACCATTACGCTGGCTTACAAGGCGGCAGGGAGACAAGGCGATTAGTTGGAGACAAGGCGATTAGTTGGAGACTAACTTGCCATTCCACTAGGGCCATTTCATCTTCATGGGCTGTTTTTAGAGGAGTTTCCCTGGTGGATATCTGCACTGCTGCTACCTGGGCTTCTCCATGCACGTTTGCCCGGTTTTATAAGGTCAACATTGCTGCTCATCATGCCGTTAGTTCTGCGGTTCTTCTGGAGCAGCCTTAATTTCATCAGGTGGGTGGCATTCCTCATGACTATGTTGGTATGTGTCATCCATAGTGTTTACACTGCCTCTGGCGGTCAGTAAGAATGAAACAGAACGCTAGTTACGCATGTAACTGTGGTTCTGTGAATTCTGGATGACCGCCAGAGTTCTCTGTCACTCGGAATGCGCGAGAAAGGCGTACCGAGGTAGAGTGCTGAGCTACTGTAGCTTTACCCTCCAGGGCTCAGCATACGTCACGCCACGTGACTTTGTTGGTATATTCTCTCGACCTATCTAGCTGGCGCTGCGATAATCCATAGTGTTTACACTGCCTCTGGCGGTCATCCAGAATTCACAGAACCACAGTTACATGCGTAACTAGCGTTTTCTAAGTGAATATATAGTAAAGTGTAATTTATTCCTGTGGTCAAAGCTGAGTTTATTTGATCAAAAATACAGTAAAAATTGTGAAATATTATTATAATGTAAATCAGCTGTTCTCTATGTGAATATATAGTAAAGTGTAATTTATTCCTGTGATCAAAGCTGAATTTTCAGCATCATTACTCCAGTCTTCAGTGTCACATGATCCTTCAGAAATCACTCTAATATGCCGATAATCTGATAAATTGATGATTTGCAGATTAAATGCATCAATATCTAGACATAATACCAGCTGTGTCTCTTCCTGCAGGTCTGTAATGAATATGAGCGTTTCAGTCGTGGATTCTGGAGCCGCTCTCATTATAAACACTAAGATCCTGCCGTTTCCGGAGTCAGATGTGTGTGTTGCTCTCGGCCCGTTTGAGGCGAAGAACATCAGACGCTCGGATCGTCCCGCATCAACACTTGCTCTGGTCGCCGTCACTGATTTGGCTCCTTTATTAACCTCAGGCTGCATCAAATGGCCCATCATGCTCCATTACAGCACCAGAGAATCATCCGGGTGTTCTCGGGTTTCTCAGTTCTGCGGGAAAATCTCAGTGGATCTCAAAGATATTTCCATGGGGAAGTTTCATCCACGTCTGTTACAGGACAGCAAACTCAACACAGGTCAGGAGTTCACTTCAGAGTTAAAATTTCATGATAATTTACTCTCTGTAATCCAAGATGTTCATGTGTTTCTTTCTTCAGTGGAAAAGAAATGAAGGTTTTTGAGGAACACACTCCAGGGTTTCTCCATATAGTGACTTCAATGGGGTCCAACGGGTCGAAGGTCCAGATGTGAGTTTCAGTGCAGCTTCAAAGTCTCGACACGATCCAGCCGAGGAATAAGAGTCTGATCTAGACAAACCAGCGGACATTTATAACAAAATACACATTTATATACTTTTAACCACTAATGCTGGTCTTGCTCTAGCTGTGATGCGACACACATTACGTCATCAGGGTGAAAGGTCAAAAAGTTCAAAACTTTAAACTTCAAAATCGTCCGACATCGTTGTTTTACCTTTTATTTATTTATTTTTGTAAATGGCGTTTGACTCAGTCTTTGCACGTTCTCTTTGTAAACACTAGATCTGTTCTTACGCCTACGTCACGCTTGACCTTTCACCCTGATGACGTAATGTGTGTCGCATCACAGCTAGAGCAAGACCAGCATTAGTGGTTAAAAGTATATAAATGTGTATTTTGTTATAAATGTGGGCTGGTTTGTCTAGATCAGACTCTTATTCCTCGGCTGGATCGTGTCGAGACTTTGAAGCTGCACTGAAACTCACATCTGGACCTTCGACCCGTTGGACCCCATTGAAGTCACTATATGGAGAAACCCTGGAGTGTGTTCCTCAAAAACCTTAAAACTTCACCACAGAGGGACTTTAAGTCTGATTTGAGTGTGTGTGTGTGTGTGTGTGTTCAGACGAGGCCAGAGAAGACCTGCTCAGTCTGACTGCGCTGTTGGACTCCTGGTTGTTCCTCATCGAGTGTCCGGATCACACGCTGGCGGATGTGCAGGGGTTTCTTCACGAGTCTCTGTGTGTTTCGGTGCTGGACGTCGACCCGCGGGTCATGGCTGACCCGACTGACCTCAGGCTCTTCCACTGGGACCAGAGATCCCCGTTCCAGGCGCTGTTGAGCGTCCAGTGCATGTAATGACACACACACACACACAATAGATTGATTATTGATTAGATAAGCTTGCAAGTCACTCTCTGTGCACTTGCTGCGAGACTCCGCCCACATGCTGTTCTGATTGGCTGTGGGTTTTGATTGATTTTGACGCATCTCGCATCTAGTGTGGACAGACAAATTATTTGCACTGTATAAATAAAGATGACTTGACTCCACAGGGACGACCTGCGTTTGCTGCAGTTCCTGCACTCGCTGTGTGACTTCCTGCCTGCGTCGCATCATATCCTGTTTCTGGAGACCCGGAGGTCACGCGGACCCGGGCCGGATCTGGGCCGGACTCTGGAGACGGAGATCAACACTGCAATACAGGACCTGTCGTTCGTGCTCCAGTGTGGAGAGAGAGGAATGACGGGACGAGAGGAATCAGACACCGAATCCTCAGAGCCGCTCCAGAGACTGAGGGAGGCGTGGCTTAGGGAGCGTGGGCGGAGCCACACGAGGCTCCGCCCCCTGGTGGACGGCTCCGCCTACAGCAGACTCGTGGAGCGGATGATTGACAGGCAGCTGGACGCTGATGAAGTCGCTCTGATGGAAGCGGCTCGTCTGTAGGTAAAGGAACACAAACTTGTGTAAACTAGTTGTAAAAGTAAATTGCTTTTGCTTTATATGAATAATGTTTGTAATATAGTATGATAATGTAATGGTTGGGAATCGAATACTTGAGGTCAGGAATCGGGTTCTTGTTATAAAGTTAAAATTCTGATTCCTCTTATCGATTCCTTTGTGAGCATTTCAATATGACAAAAAAAACAGCATACCGGTTTGAAATGACGAAAGTGTGATTAAATGTGACAGTATTTACATTTTTAGTTGAATTATTTCTTTTAAAACAACTTGGGAAAGATGCATGAGAAGCATGAAACTTCAAACTTGTGTAAAATAGTTGTCTAATAAAATAAAATTGCATTTGTTCCTCCGGTTTTATATGGGTAATGTTTGTAATAATGTGATAATGTAATGACCAAACTCAGAATCTGCTGTAAGGCAGCTCAACAGAAGACAATAGTGTCTTATTTTAGTGTTTTGTTCATTCAAATGTACGACAGTGACACTTTTATGATGTCCTTAGGGTCCATTGTAGAGGGAAAAAACAGCATACGGGTTTGAATCGACTAAAGTGTGATTTAGGGACTGTTTACATGACTCGTTTTGCCCGTTCATTTACCGTACACAACAACTGTGTTTTGGGCGCCTGGAAGCGCAAACTTTTGAAAATGTTGAAAATTTAAGTTTAAAAAAATTTAAATTGTAAAATGACAATTTTGTAAATGACAAATCGCGAATCTCTGATGAGGATGACATCATGCACATGCGTGTCACGTGTTCAGTCTACAGTGTTTGATCGCCATCTACTGGCCTGGCAGCAGAACACAGCGTTCTAGTTGTTTTCGCGGATCCGTGTGAATAGGGATCGGTTTGACAATGCTGTCGGTACGTGGAAAACTCAAAGGAAAAACCATGTTGTGGAAAACGTACCTAAAATGTGACAGAATTTAAATTTTTTGTTGAAATATTCCTTTGGTAACACTTTATAATAACTACACGCTAATAATCATTAGTTAAGCATGAGTAAACAGTTAATTCATCATTCATAAAGCATTAATAGACATTAAAAGCAGTTTATAAATACAGCTATAAATGCTTGCTTCTTGATTTACAAGCATAAATCAAGTCAAATCTATAATTTGTTTAATAATTGTATTTTCATCCTTTATTAATGATCAATTTATCATTTCTAAATGAAGAATTGCATTTTTTATAAACCAGTTATTTAAGAGTTGTCAGTGGTTCATAAGATTACTTAGAACGTGTAAGTAAATGATTAATAAACTATTTAAATGTACATTCATACATCTTATTATTCAGACATATAGTGATGGTTACTTAGTGTGTTAATAAATGCTTTATTAACATGTATTTATGCAGTAATTCAGGGTTAATTCGGGTAGTTATAAAGCATTTAGTAAAGGTCAGTTAACTATGTTTGTGAGCTCATCTAAAGTGAGGACTATTCATGCCTTGTAAAGCATTTATAAAGGAGATTTAAAGGCTGATAAATATTTCCATGTTCTGTATCACTGTGTTGTGTTTGTTACATTTTACTGTTTAGAAGATTGATGCGCCTTCAAATCTCCTTTATAAATGCTTTACAAGGCATGAATAGTCCTCACTTTAGATTAGCTCACAAAATAGCTAACTGACCACTACTAAATGCTTTATAACTACCTGTATTTACTACATTTACTTACACTTTCTAAGTGCTCTTATGAATAACTGACAACTCTTAAATAACTGGTTTATAAATAATGCTGTACTTCATTTAGAAATTATTAATTGATCATTAACAAAGTATGAAAATACAATTATTAAACGCATTATAGATATGCTTGTAAATCAAGAAGCAAGCATTTATAGCTGTATTTATAAACTGCTTTTAATGTCTATTAATGCTTTATGAATGATGAATTAACTGTTTACTCATGCTTAACAAATGATTAATAGCATGCAGTTATTATAAAGTGTTACCATTCCTTTTTCAAAACAGCTTGGTAAAGATGCAGGTAAAGAATGAGGAACATCACAAATAAATTAGGGGTGTAACGATTCCCTCATATCACGATACGATATTATTGCGATACTCCAATGCATGATAAAAGGTTAACAAAAAATGTACTGTTGATTAAAATGCTAAATTTGATATTACATTGTGGGTGTAAATGAATAGACTTGGACTTGGTGCTGGAAACCCAATATTCATGATTCTGAAGCTGAAAATACAGAATTATTTTAGATGAATATGCTTGCACTCGTTCAATGACTAGATGTATTTAAAATAATGTAGGACACTTTTACTGGTAACATCAGACATTTGGCATTAGCAGGACACACACATATTCCCCCACTGCATTATTATACATTATATTCAACATTATATATAGTAGTTTAATGTAGTGCTGACACTAAAACTCTGAAAACTTTATTGAATTTTTTTCTTGCACAGTAATTTTTATTTAGGGGGGACTATCCACAATACGTATTGTTGCATTTTTGTATTGCGATATATTGTGGCACGATATATTGTTACACCCCTATAACCCATGTTACTTTGCATTTTCTTTAGGAAGGAAATGAAAGGCTTCGGTGTGGGTCAGCTCAGTGTGTTTCAGCTCGGCGTGGGTCGGGTCGGTGTGTTTCAGCTCGGCGTGGGTCGGGTCGGTGTGTTTCAGCTCGGCGTGGGTCGGGTCGAGCTCGAGTCTTCATGCCTCTTCAGACTCTCCGGGGCTTCACGGCTCGAACGCTTCTGACACTTCCACAGAACACACCTCAGCGCTCGACACGACCCCGGCGCTCCTGCTGGGAGACACGTGATCAAACATGTTCAACACCCATATCTGTCTGTCCGTCACCTGCAGGAAATATTTGTGTTGTTTAATGTTCACAATAAATAGTTGGATGCAAAAGCTTCTTGTTTTGAAGATTGCATTGAAGACCTTATACATGTATTCAAAGTTGTAAAGAAAGCAAATGTTATTGGACTACGTTTTACCAAAATATACTGTTTTATTCTTTCTACTTCAAAATGTCTCATTTTGTTTCAAATTCACATATATTATAAATACATGTGTGTGTGTGTGTGTGTGTGTGTGTGTGTACACATATATATACACACACACACACACACACATATGTACATGTCATGCATATACACACACACATATGTACATACACACACACACATATATGTACATGCATGCACACACCTATATATACTGTATATACACACACACACATATGTACATGTCATGCATATACACACACACATATGTACATACACACACACACACACACATATATGTACGTGCATACACACCTATATATACACACACACACACATGTACATACATACACACACCTATATACATACACACACACATGTACATGCATACACACACCTATATATATATACACTCACACATATGTACGTGCATACACACCTATAAATACACACACACACACACGTACATGCATACACACACCTATATACATACACACATGTACATGCATACACACACCTATATATATACACTCACACATATATGTACATACATACACACACATATCTACATACATACACACACCTATATATATACACTCACACACACACATATGTACATACACACCAATACACACATATCTACACTCACCGGCCACTTTATTAGGTACCCCATGCTAGTAACGGGTTGGACCCCCTTTTGCCTTCAGAACTGCCTCAATTCTTCGTGGCATAGATTCAACAAGGTGCTGGAAGCATTCCTCAGGGAGTTTGGTCCATATTGACATGATGGCATCACACAGTTGCCGCAGATTTGTCGGCTGCACATCCATGATGCGAATCTCCCGTTCCACCACATCCCAAAGATGCTCTATTGGGTTGAGATCTGGTGACTGTGGAGGCCATTTTAGTACAGTGAACTCATTGTCATGTTCAAGAAACCAATTTGAAATGATTAGAGCTTTGTGACATGGTGGAAGTAGCCATCAGAGGATGGGTACATGGTGGCCATAAAGGGATGGACATGGTCAGAAACAATGCTCAGGTAGGCCGTGGCATTTAAACGATGCCCAATTGGCACTAAGGGGCCTACAGTGTGCCAGGAAAACATCCCCCACACCATTACACCACCACCACCAGCCTGCACAGTGGTAACAAGGCATGATGGTTCCATGTTCTCATTCTGTTTACGCCAAATTCTGACTCTAACATCTGAATGTCTCAACAGAAATCGAGACTCATCAGACCAGGCAACATTTTTCCAGTCTTCAACTGTTCAATTTTGGTGAGCTCTTGCAAATTGTAGCCTCTTTTTCCTATTTGTAGTGGAGATGAGTGGTACCCGGTGGAGTCTTCTGCTGTTGTAGCCCATCCGCCTCAAGGTTGTGCGTGTTGTGGCTTCACAAATGCTTTACTGCATACCTCGGTTGTAACGAGTGGTTATTTCAGTCACTGTTGCCCTTCTATCAGCTCGAACCAGTCTGGCCATTCTCCTCTGACCTCTGGCATCAACAAGGCATTTCCGCCCACAGGACTGCCGCTCACTGGATGTTTTTTCTTTTTCGGACCATTCTCTGTAAACCCTAGAGATGGTTGTGCGTGAAAATCCCAGATTAGCAGTTTCTGAAATACTCAGACCAGCCCTTCTGGCACCAACAATCATGCCACGTTCAAAGTCACTCAAATCAACTTTCTTCCCCATACTGATGCTCGGTTTGAACTGCAGGAGATTGTCTTGACCATGTCTACATGCCTAAATGCACTGAGTTGCCGCCATGTGATTGGCTGCTTAGAAATTAAGTGTTAACGAGCAGTTGGACAGGTGTACCTAATAAAGTGGCCGGTGAGTGTACATACATACACACACCTATATATATACACTCACACACACACACACACACACACATGTGTACATACATACACACACCTATACACATACACACATATCTTCTACATACACACACCTATACACACACACACATATATGTACATACATACCGTAAT